TTTTTCATAACGTCTTCCTGGTAAAACGTAGATAGTATGGTGGCATATTTCTGCCCACTATATGCAAGATACATCATGTTAACATGCAACATAATTATGTAGATATGCGACTTATTTATGTCAACATGCAACATAATTATGTTGACGTGCAAATTATCAATCTCTTTAGAGAATCTAATTTTAATGTTGGTAAACTTACTAACGCCATTATATGACATCATACAAGCAAGATGCACCAGAATTATGTTGACATGCTATTTATTTGTGTCAACATGCTAGATAATTAGGTAGAAATGCAACTTATTTATGTCAACATGCAATATAATTATTTTAACCTGCGAGTTAATTATCTCAACATGCTAGATATGTATGTTGACATGCAACTTAGTATCTTGCATGTTGACATAAATATCGTGCATGTTAAAATATAACTCGCATGTTGACATAAATAAGTTGCATGTTGACATAAATAAGTTGCATGTTGACATAAATAAGTTGCATGTTAACATAATCATCTTTTATGTTAAAATATAACTTGCATGTTTACATAAATAAGTCGCATATTGATATAAATAAGTTGCATGTTAACATAATTATCTTGCATGTTGACATAAATAAGTCGCATAACAAAATAATATGTAGCACGTTAACATAAATAAGTCTCATGTTGACATAAATATCTTGCATGTTAACATAATTATCTTGCTTGTTAACATAAATAAGTCGCAGGTCAACGTAATTCTGTTGCATTTTTCTTGTATGATGTCTTATACCGGCGTTAGTAAGTATGTTTACCAACATTGAAATTAGATTCTCTAAAAAGATTGGTAACTTGCCTGTCAAAATAATTATTATGCATGTAGACATAATTATCTTGCATGCTGAACATACTTTTCTCGCATGTTAATATAATTTATCTTGCATGTAGGGGGGCAGAAATATGCCACCATAAGATAGGTTTAAAAAAATATTTCTTTTTTTTTTAAAGAAATTTAATATATTAGAATTTTCAAAACCGTTTTACCTTTTGCCCAAGAAGAATAAAAGGAATTTTAAATATTTTGTTTCTAAAAATAAAAAAAAAAAAAAACATCAGAATTATAAACTTTTCATTTTAACAAATGCTTGAATCACTGGGAATTTTAAGAACCAAATTATTTGAATATAACAATATGAATGACGGAGATAATATTATAACATTATTGAATATCAATTGGCATAGCCTTTAGCACTGCGTTTCTTTCGAAATAATTGGCAAAAAGTGCATTCCTTCTTCGTAGCCGGACATTGTTATTCTGAAAATTGAATAATCAATCTCATATCTCATAGGAAAAAGCCCGTTAAGTTAATTAAAATTTAAATTATGACTTTGTTAACAACTTATAGTTCTTACTGCATAACGACTTATGGATTTATGCAATAGAAAAATGAGAGAACCACTTATATAGGGAATATATTCAGGCAATAAAAGGTTTCAAAGGACAAAACGCACGCACGTCCTTACTTTTCTCCTGCTAGAATTTGTCCATAAGTTTATATGTTTGGATTTCTTGACTTTTGGAAGAATAAAATATTGCATTATTATATATAGAAATATATTATGTATAATGTTTTCATTAAGAAGAAAATATAGATAAGAAAACTTAAACAAATCAAAAGTTAGCCTTTTCATTAATCACTGGCTTCACTATAAAAATTGGATATATTATTGAAAATATAAGGAATTTAGAACCGTGTACCACATGTCTTTCATAACATAAACTAGTTTACTTTAGAATACCTATCGATTCCTATAAAGTTCATACTAACTATTTCTTTTATATATATTTTTTTTTACTATGACAACGATATTTTACATCGAATTAATCTGAAAATTTGACTTTTTACTATCGGGGCACTTTGATATGCTACGAAACATTGATACATATCTGAAGTTACAGAACTAACAGAAAAAGATCGTTAAATATGCACAAAAATATTTCTCGATTGGAAAATAATACTTCAATATGCGACTGAAAATGCCTTTAAATATTAAATTAAAAATAAATTGAGAGTTTTATCTGAAACTTACTTGGAAATGCATTACTAATTCACAAAATTCTAAAAGTTATGGAAATCAGCACCCATTATTAACTTTTAAATTCAATAATTTTTGTTAGGGTGTAAATTTTCGTTGTTTTCGTGGTAGGAAGAGACTCACAAAGTCAAGTCCTTTTCTAAATATAATTTCAATTATGACAACTCAGCACTTCTTAACCCCAAAATCAAGTCCTCTTAAATTAATAATTTTCTTCAAACCACAACAATTTGAACCCATGAAAAAATGTAATATTTCGGTAATTTTGACATGATAATATAGATAATAAAGTATGAGTGCACTTTAGAGTGTCATTTGGAGCCTTTTCGGCCACCCATTTTAAGCCTTAAATTAGACTATATTGCTAAATTAATCTATGATTATTGTGCATACATATGCGTTTGATATTTATACTTCGAATTTTTTGTTAAACATATTGCTATAATTCCACACAACGTCATTGAAAAGAACATGTATAAGCCTTAAATTCCGGAAATTTGAACTGGACCACTTTCGAATTTAAGGTACCCGCAAATGGGCAGAGATATTTAAATCGCATGGAAGTGGAATGTAAACATTTGCACATTATTTCCAGATTGATTCTACAATATTAATTTAAATGGAGGAGATAAAGATTGTGTAGTTTCATGATTCACACAAATAATAAATGATTCAGGGCCATACATATTGATCATTTTCATGATTCGTAACCATATGTTTGATGCCTAGATCACCGAATTAGATCAATCTTAAGTTTTCGTACATGATAAAAATACCTCCTCTTTTTTCTTTAGCTTTATCATTTTTCGTTTTATATGCTGAATGCTTTTCAATTCAAAGAATGAATGTATGTTTTAAGAAAAATTCACATGTACATGGCTTCGATGTCATACTACATTTAATCGTAATTCACTGTACATGAAGTACGTAGAGTTATACAAACGTGTAGTGAAACAAATTATACATGTATGTAGTACTCACGGTGATACATATTTTATTATATGCCTGTATAGATAAATAACTTTCGGAAATGAAATATAAAATTTTAACTTCAGATTTGAGTCGCTAGGTTAACATGAAAACTCCAAGAAATACAAACTATCTGTAATTTAAATTAACATAAATTTATTGACGGAACAAGTATAAACATGGTCAACAAAAATTCTACAACGTTACTATATCGATAATCACTCGCTTATATCTTCAATATCTCTTTCATTTCGGCAATCCAAATATTGTCAGGTGTGATACTAGTGTTTAGGGATGTGTCTGTAGACCATAATACAGAGGCGACATGAGCTAACACAGCTACATACTAATCGTGCACTTGATTTGCACTGGCAATACCAGAATTTCCTTCAAAATACCAAACGAAAAAACACAATTTAGTGAAAGAAGACAAGGTAAACTTTAAGACCCTAATAAAATTTTCGCAAAATTCTTCATTATTTTGAAGTTGTTCAGGCCGGTATAAACGGTGAGATTTGTAGTTCCTGTATAATACAAGTATTATATTTGTATTGTAATACTTTCCTGTACACACGTTTACACAGTTTATTAGATTGTTAATAGACTTTAGGGATTTCTACGTGTTTCCCTCGCAATATTTCTCCCTCTCTCTCTCTCTCTATCTCTCTCTCAATAATGGAAAACGAGGTTCTGTTAGCAGTATCTGTTATCGTATTATGCATCGCATTAAAACTGAAAAAAAAAACCATCGTAATGGAAACAGCGGCGGAACACTCGTATATGTATGCATCGCTAGATGAGGTGCAAAGGGAAGACCCCAGTAGTTATAAAAACTTTTTTAGAATAGATAACGCTGCATTTGAGCAACTTTTACAATTACATGTAGGTATTCCTTTTGATCTTCTTCCCATAAAACAACGAGTTTTTCGATATTTTTACTGCTAAAGTCGACCATTATTTACCACGTGCTTTTTTTTTTTTGTTATGATAAAAATAGGATGACCACAATGTGAGTACTTTTGATTGTTTTAAAAATGAAAGGTAAGTTAAGACTTGTCTTAAGAAATAGAGCATTGTCCTATTCTTAATACAATTTTATAATATTCGAAAAAAAAATTGGATTCTCCGTATTAAAAGTCTATACATAGTCAGATTTTGTACTTAAATACATATCCGTGTGTACAGCCCTGAAGTCCATTGATAGACACAATGAAAGCATATCGAACAGTGGAATGTCACTTGAGTAAAGTGATTATAATATCAAACAGGTCAAAATAGGTTGACACTCGGTGACCTGTTAATTTAGTAGCTAACCCGTCCGTAGTTTGGAGAATTTTTAAAAAAAAATTACATATGAGCCGCAAATTGTCCAACATTGCTCTTTGGATATGTATAAGTTTAAATCAAAATACACATTCTGTGCAAATGAGAAGAATGGACAAGTTGCGGCTCGATGTAAACAAAGTCTTTGAAAACTGGTATGCATATGAATAACAATAGAAATGTGACAAAACTGCTAGACCCCTGTCGCAAAAACCAGTGTCGCTCGGCATTATTTAATATTTTTATGTGATATAATATATCAAACCCTGCTTTTAAGATATTGTTTAATAATTCTGTTTCAAAAAGTTTATAAATTTCGGAAATTTATTATTAGCAAAGCACCGGGATCCAACTCTCATAGCTTAAGTGCACTGATCCTTTTACTGAGAATTTTCCATTATTCATAAACGTCTTTGTCGATGTCGTCGATCTTTAAAGAAAATTCCTGCATCAGTTATGACGTTTATCCTTCTTGCAATATTATAGTGCTTTTATAGAGTGCCCCCATGCAAAAAGTAAATTTAAGAGTTTTTTTCTACAATTATCAACGTTAATGTAATTTATTAGATAGTAACTATCATACAACATTATTATTAACATTATTACTACATGTACATTTTGTATGTATTGTTTAGTCATCTTTGGATTCATCATTATTATCATCATCGTCGTCTTCAATATCATCGTCGTCGACATCGTCAGGTTCTTCATCCTCTTGATCTGGGTCATCAGGAGATATTATTTTGTCATTTTCACCCAACACTTGTAATTTAAAGTCAGTATCTACAAACAGGTTTCAAATTGTAATATATGAGAAACAACATCAGAGAACATTATTTGCAAAATTCATATCTTAAAAAAATATTAATTAGTCAAACAAAATCAAATTTCAAACCATCGCTTTGGATCTTCAATTCCTGTTTCTCAAGTTCTTTTTTATCGAAATCATTCAGAGTGAAGTGCACAATATTGTTGTCCAATTCAGCAAGAAAGCTTCTCCCATCGCTTACAGGCGCCATTCGACGGAACTACATTTATATAAAAAAAAAGTTCTTTTTTTTCTTAACAAATTGTCAAAGTGATATGGTTGAATTTTGCTGAATTTCAAGTATTTTGTTGGCCATTTGTTGTTGATAAAGAACCTTCTAGATATTTATGAAAATACATTGTATTTACCGATATTTTAATGTCTGTACATTTCTTTTCTCTAAAGATATTTTGTAATTTCATTCTGTGTGACAAAATGCCAGACCCGAAATATTTGAAGATTTTAAGCTGAATTCAGATTTTTTGGCTCACAAAATTTTTAAGAATATTACTACCTTAAGAGAGAATTCACTCTTTTTTTTCCTTAGAAACACAAAGAATCCAATTCCCGTTTATATAATGGATTCTCTTTGTTGAAGAAATATATCCGATATATCCAGAACGTATATTTATTGTCGCCTATTTAATTAATTTAAGTATTATAAGTATCAAACTGTAGGTATTGTATCGATCTTGATTTTAAGAATACATCACATTCTATATGTGCTTAAACAAAGAATTGAACAATTTTTATTAAAAACATATTGGAACCTACATATTTTTCAAGGAGGGATGATGAAATTTGCTGTTATGTAGCATGTATTAACTGAAAATAGCATAATTCACAATTAAAAATGAAAATTCTATTATTTTACTAATGTTTAAACTTTTGCATAATTATTTTTACCATCAATCTAGCAGATATAATCGATTATTATAGTTCAAGAATACGTATCCCAAGCTTTTATTGCATAAACGAAGATTTGCTTTAAAAGAACGTACAAAGGCTTCAGGTCTGTAGCTTGCCAGACATTCCCAGCTGTTGATATCCCATATTCTCATCAGATTAGTTTCTTCCATGTCACAGTATGACATCATGTACGGTCCATAGGGGTTTCCATAAATGTCCACTATGTCTGTGTGCCCACTTAACTTCATATGAACAGTTCCTGAATAGAAATGGTTATTTAAAATGTGTCTCAAATGCCTTCAATGCAACGATAAGGGAAACATTTAAAAAACTAACTTTTGATTTATATAAAGACAATCTGTCTTTTTTTTTTAATGATCGATAAATGTCAATATTGATGATTCATGATAATCTCAGATTATCCATGATCAATGTTCATTCCAAATCTTAGATATGTTTTTTATAATACATGTACAGAAATGACAGTTTCTGTTCAGCTGTCACTTGCCTTGTGCCACATCCCACAGTCTTATCACACCGTCTTGGTATCCTACTGCTAAGAGTTCATCTTTGACGAACACCAAGTTATTCATGTCAAGACCATTCAAATCTTTACCCTGATCTGTGTATGCTTTGAATTCTTTCTCATCAAAGAGTATCGTGAATTCATCTGTAAAATATGGTTATATTGTATTTGTGTGTGTTTTGAATTCCAACATTTTAATCCGCCGCTTTCAAGAAAGCGTAAACGTTAAATCTTATTTCTCTGTCCGTTCGTTTCTCTGTCACAAAGAAATTAAATTTTGTCAAAACTTTTGAATGAGAGAAGATGGGGCTTTCACATTTCAATTCAGCATTATTATAGCTATGACGAACCTTCAAAATGCACTATTAGGGAGCGGATATTTGAAGAAAAAAAATCACGAAGTGAGACAAGACTTGACACGAAGGTTCCTTGTTGAGTGCCTAAATAGGAAATATCGTTGGCCATTCATGTTTCGGCCATTTTTAAAATGGCCGCTAAAATTTATCAAATGGTTTTAGTTTTTATATTATATATCAGGTATTTTCAAATGTTATTTGCCTTACTTTAAAAATATTTGAAATATTTAATCAGAATTCGGTCAATCATACGGTCAGAGACGTCACATATATGTGCAATGAGCGTGCGCTAAAGTACAGGTTACTGTCGTTTTGCAGTACTCAAAAGGTAATTGTTACCTTACTCAAACAAGTACACAGATTTGTATATTATTCTCAAAAAGAACAGCTCTTGAGAGAAATGCCGCTAATTAGGGGAAAAGATACCATGACGAGCGATATTTATTAATAGTCCTGCTGGACCTGTCGTACATGACTTAATGGAATTTGTTCCTTGTGGAACATAGGGCTGCTTTCCTCTATCCGATCCTCTTTTTAGCTGTTTTCCTTACCTCGTTCCAATTTGTTCACATTTAATCTTAAGTATTTTTTCATCCTTGTTCTACAGCTATTTCATGGACGACCTCTTTTTTGGTGACCCTGGGGATTCATTTTTTTTATTTTTTGAAATGTTATTATTGACATGTTTTTAGAGTGTGAACTATCCCTTGCCATGTTCTTCTTTTAAGCTGTTTCACTGCTGGATCTTGGTTGGTTTCATTATATTTTTGGTCCTAGGCCACCAAATTCTGCATATGTATCGTAGGTACTTGTTCATGGTATACGAAGGTTTTCTTCCATAGGCTCTTAGTAACATGTAATCTCTGGGTGTCTACACAATAGAAATGACTTGTATCACGATAGTTTTGAATATTCAAATTTTGGTGTTCTGTGATAATGATGTTGACTTCTATGCTGGCCGTAGCTTTACAAAAGCCTGCATTGCCTTTTCTGGCTTAAATATTTTCGTCAGTACCCCTGTTTTGACTTCTTTATTGACTTCCTCTTCATCTTTGTCTTCAACTGTTATAGTTCTTCCATTTCTGGCATGACCCTTCATTTTCTTGGCATAGATCTTAAGTTTTTGTTTCATCTGTTTGTCTCGTCTCTCATGTCTTACAGTAAAATGTAGAAGTGCAAGGTTGTCTGCAATATTTTGATTGTGTATAAATCTTCTAACAAAGGACCACTGAATTCCTCTTGCACTTGTATCAAAAGTGATGATTGCCATTATACTTATTGCTCTATAATATTACTAGTACTTAGTGATCGATATAAATCAGGCTTGTTCGCTTATCAATACTTTGCCTGTTGGCTTTTTTCTTCTATCCTAGATGAAACTGTTTAGAAACTTGCTTGCAACACATAGCAGTGCCTCTTTATTTCTGCAAAGATTATCATCTTTCTTCTGTGGTACATGTAGTTTCCATTCAGTAATTTCTTCCACTCACTAGGATTTGTCTGTATCCTATTCATTTTCCGTGGTCTTCTGTGATATTTACAAACTTAAATTTCCATTCTCAACACTCAATGCTCGGTCTTCTCTTTCGTCTTTTTTTTTCAGTTTTAACAATCTTTTGTACAATATACCAATGAGAAGATGGTGGTTTGAGTTTATGTCTTCGTTTTACACTTTTACAACTGTTGTCTGAGCATTTGAATCGAACTTATCATAATCTGGTTTTTCGAAAACCCATCTGGTGACTACCAATGTTGTTAATAGATATTTTGTGTGTTAACGTGGAGCTTTTGATTACAAAGTGTGTTTCGTTTCTCAAATTTTAGCCTGAAGTTCTCCAAACAAGTTGCTTTCATGTCCCCAGATGCGCCATGTCTTCCCATTATTTTCTCTCTACTTTCGTTGACCAATCTTGCATTCTTATCACGCATTCATATTTTGATATGCGCTTTGGAATTCCTTCCCACTATTGTAATGCATGTAATCACACTTTATTGATTAACAATTAGATGAAGAAACATTGCGGAATTGAATTCCGTTAAAGGTAAGCTATTTGCTTTTAGTTTAAAGCAAACTGATTAAGATATCATGTACAAATTTAAAGCATAGTTTTGCCACAATACATCACAAACGCCCCAAAGATGGTTAACATAACAGTAAGTCGATCGTATATGAGGCCAAGTAATATAGAAATGTCACCATTTTATTCAACGGCAGCCATCTTGAAAATGGGGGAAATTACGATGATCAACGATGATTTGGAAACAGTATTATCTGATTTACATTGAAACCCAATTTTATGCTTGTATCCACAAGTATTTTGGTGAAACTATGCTAGCTGCTACAGTATATAATGTTTAAACTCATAAATAAAAAAAATTAATAAACTTTTCAATGAGAGAGAAAAGAGCTTTTATTTTTTTTTCACATATGCATAACCTTTCCGAATGTTCTAAAATGTTTAACTACATGACCAAGACCTGGAAGGTTGACCTTCAAATTTTTTTGATTTTGGTCTTTTGCACTTAAACATCTTAGTTAAAAAATACATAATTTTTTAGCATAAATACCCGACATGGGTTACAATACGCCATAGATCATTGCACTCTTACTAATTAATAAGATCCCAGTTCTCTAAATTTCCTTGTTATTTCAATTTTAAACATGCTGATTTTAAGTTTTTAGCAGGCAAAAAATATTGCAAGCAAAATTTAGAAAAAAGATATCATTCCTTTTACTTATAAATTATTATAGATAAAAGAAAATAATTGTTGGAGGAAACTTTTGAATTTACCATCTTCTTTTTTCCAGACAAATGGTGTAGTAAGCATCTCTTTTCTTTTATACTGCAGTGATCCAATGACGTAGTTTCCGCGACTAGAAACTGCAACATCTAGACCAGTTTCACTAGCGTGCGGTCCAAGGTCTTGTTTGGTTATTGTTTTTATCACCTTTTTCTTTTCTGCATCACAAATAAGAAATCTCTCATCTTCTGTTACACAAGTTATGATATGATCATCTCGGGAAGTCTGAAAAATTCAAACACAGTCCACTATATTACTTATTTTGTAATTTTTTTATCATGCTTGTTAAGTCCTAGGTACAATAAGATGGTCATTATATATATATATATATATATATATATATATATATATATATATATATATATATATATATATATATATATATATATATATTTAAAATGATTTTTCACTTGACTCTGCTGAGATTATTATAAAGAATGGTTTATCATAAAATACAACACAAGGTAGGAAAATTAAAATTAAACCAGATTAAGGATTTTTATACCTCTATAATATCAATAAGGCATGGGTTTTCTTCAGTTGAACAAGGGATGATTTTTGTAACTTTTCCAGATTTTACATCATAGCATTTCAAATTTTTCCTTCCTCGAGTTTGTACTACGAGTTCTAAAAAAACAAAAAGTCATGGTAATTCTTCTGAAATAAAGCAAACATTCTGAATGACACGGTGAAAGCGGACATCTATGGAAGTAAATTCCTACGTTTTTTCTAATATTTTCTTTCTTCAGTTTTGTATTTTGTTATTCAGGAAATTCAATATTTTACTTAAATTTTCATAGTGAATGGAGACTTTCAAACCAGATTTACGATATTATCCCAGAGCTTGTCGTATCCATGTTTATACTCGACTAAGCATATCTACATTCAAATAGTCAATATCGATCAGTTCACGATAACTAATTCAGATCTATACATCCCCAATATAGTGCTATAAAATAAAATGTTTCCGGTTCTGTTTATCGTAGATTATAGTACAACCAAATTAAAGCATTTTTCGTTTGCAAGCAAAGAAATTTAAGAAAATTAATGTTTTTAAGCCATCATAAAATACCATACACGATTTATGTATTATATAGCAGTTGATAAATATGTTTCCTCATTCATGTATATGCAAAACTAATATTTATACTTAAGCGGAAGGTTTATTAAACAAAATTCACAAAAACTTATTTAGCAAAATGTTTATATCGTTCACATCAATTAAATGTCAAAAATACAATTTATTTATAAATGTATAATGGACTTTTGAGCTTGAATACTGTTCGTTATCTCCATATATTTCATTTATAACTCTGTTTCCTCTCATATACTGTACCGTTACTGGTTTACTTTCAGTTAGGTGTATTATACTCATATAATACTTATTATAATTAGTGTTATACTCATGTGTGCTCATATATTAAATGGTGGAAATTAAAACTGATAAGACTCATTCTATAACTGAAATATCAGAATACCTCTTGTATAAGTAACAAAACAGGTATGAGAAAATTCAAAAGAAACTGAGTAGTGATTGAGGACTTTTGGCCAAACAAACAAGAGTGAATATAAATCATTTTAAAGTATACATATGTACACGTTTTCCTTACCTTTGCCACCATTAAAAAGGCGCAAGTCCATAATCCCTGCAGGAATTACTCCTTCAAATGCAGTAGAAACTGATTCTAGGTCAAGGGAAATCTTTATGATCTTATGATTTGAGTTGACCAGCAAGAGAGTACTGTCATCCAGCAGAATCATTTCTCTAATTGAGCAGTCCTGAGAGACAGTATAAAATAATTGAGCAATACATCCGGGGACTTTTACACTTAGTAAGTACAAGCATGCGCACAAAAAATAGCTACCATGCTACTTACCAGGGTAAAAGATTTTACGACCTTGTGTTTTTGAATGTCATAAATTTCCAGAAGGCTTGGTCCATCCTTAATATTGCGATGTACGACTGTGTAGCGCGTATTCTTCATTGGAATAATATGGCTGAAAAAAGTGTTTTACAAATTAAAGAAATATAAAAGGTACTTTGCAAATCTTTTATATATGTATGAGAACGTTCTACTTACACTTTTTTCATGAAATTACTAGAATAAACCATAATAAACTTCATTAATTGAAGTTTTGTCTCTAAAGTGGTGGTAATGTAAACGTACAATATATTGATATTTCGAGGCTAACTGAATCTTAAAAACATTGAATCCATTATTTACATAGCCAAACATTTAAAAAGAACATTTCAACAATACTTAAGCTTATTTGCTTGTTCTGGGAGTTTGATCTGCACGTCCTTCTTCTCTAAATCCCATACTCTGATTATGTTATCGGCCGTCATGGTGACAAATATCTTCATATCACATGTCTTCACGTCCTCTAGAGAAACTGTATGATGGAAATGCGATGATACATCACTTCCCGATTTGTCTGATATAAGCACGAATGAATTGTCACAGGTCAGAATGGTGTCATCATGCCAGTACATGGAATTCAATAAACCATAATCTTCGAACGCTGTAAAACATAGATAGACAGTGAACATTTTAAGCTGCTATACTGCTATTCATTTTTTTTTTCAATTTTGATAGAGCATCGATGTCACATCATTTATAAAATTTGTCTTAACACTACAATTAGAGGGCACTTTGTAACTCGATATTAACATGTATATATGATATCTACTGCATTAACATGTTTTATGTTCTTCTCCAAACACTTCATCAGTATAAGGTCTCAAAAAATACTACTGGTGACATTTTCATTTTGGTACAGAAATAATAAATAAGTAAATGCACATTACTACAAAACATTATATTCCTTTATTCCTTTAATTCATACCTTCATTTTTTTTCAGAATCACAGAACCAGTTTTAAATCTAAAAATTCATGAGTTGAAAACAAGTTCTTTCAAATCATGGACTGCACATGTGCCTCTTTTCCAAGCGAGATAATCATGAAATAGTATAAATTGGTAAGTCCATTGGGTATGACCTTTGTGTAATTTTTTTTCTTTAATTTTTTGTGGAAACTATGAGTATATAAAACAAGAAGGTTGAAATGCCCAATTATAACATCCTACTAATAAAAATACTATGTCCCCTTTTGCATTAATATAACACACCTTACCTTTACTTGTACGCAAAAGTTGAAGTGTGGAAATTTCGAAAATTGCCAATTCATTTATTCCTCTTCCGGTCACAATCTGGGTCTCATCAGAAGATATGGCCATTGTATTTATGTCTTTATCCTCCCCCATGTCGACAGCAGGGGAGAAGGAATCATCTTTAATGTTATAAACACTTAGTTTTTCCATCAGATTGCTGGTAAAAGCCAAATAATTTTCTGATCCTGAAGGAAGAAAAGCATTCTATAATAGTAAAATCAACTTTCAATTAATTTCCGTGATTACATTTACATTTAGGAATATATCTAGTAATAAACATGTAGTTTTGATCCATTGTTGAGGTCCTCATTTAAAAAGGTATGGTTTTAACAAATCTAATGTTAATTATTTTATTGATTGATAATGACTTTATAAATTTTAGATCTGGTGTTCATGAAAAAAGTCTATTTTATCTGTGTTAATCTTTTTATCCCTAGTATAGCAACAATCAGATTCCAGATGCTATCACTCACACAAAACTGTACCTACATAATATAAAAATGATTGAAATGAAATTGATAATCGAAGCTGACTTTTTTGTCTACATACCAACCTTATGCCACCCTGTCGGTTGGGGGAGGGGAGGGGCAGTTAAATGACTCAGATTTTGATTTTAACATGAAAGCATTAAATGGGATTTCAGTATGTGATGTGTTCACCTTTTAATACGTCTGTAGCAACCGCTAAATGATAAAACGTCACTTAATGATAAAAATATCATAGGTTTCTCCAGGTCGTTGAAATTCAGTCGGGTCCCTCCCAATTCCCTCTCCAAAGGCCAAGGTATGGTAACAACAGAATTTAGCCCCTTATTTGATATAAAAATGGAAACAGTTAAAATTGAGATAGTAGCAGTAAAGAATTTTAAATTTTGCTTGTTTCAAAACCAGTGCTTATTTTGATTCAAAGCGTACATGGGGATCCAAAAGATAAAAAGGCAAGTTTGTGCTATGTATTTTCTTTAACAAATTGCTGTAAAATTGATGAAAATTTACGTAAGAAGGAGAAAATTTGGACATTGTAATATTTTGTGATTTTCTTGTGACCTTTAGGAATCCCATAACCTAGAATTAATTCTCATTTTGTATCATTGTCATTTTGGTTTGACAACATGTTTTTAAAAATGAACTGTTGCATCATTCTTAGAGACATCTTAAACCAGGTGCCAAAACTGGTCCTACCATACCTTGTCCTTTGACATCGAATGATGACCAGAACAAATTTAGGCTCAATGAAAGCTTCTAATCCGATTTATTGTGAATTCCGCTCCTTATTTAATTTTTGTTTTACTGCGGTTTTTTTATTTTCTTTACACTGTGTATTCAAACAGCTTGTCTATTCCGACACAAATTTTGTCTCCCAGTGCATATCAGGTTGGACAGGTTTCATTATACTATTGTTAGATGGATGGAAGGCAAGGTTGATATGTGTTTCTCTTAAAGATAAGCAACAATTTTTAATTTTTAATCATTAAAGGGTGCAAATGCTACGCTTAATGATACATTACATGTAGTTTGTATCATTAGCTTTCGATCATGTAGATATTTTGCTTGTTTCATTAAGCGTTTGAGCTGTTCTGTATTTGTGACGCTTCTTGATATAAATCTATCATCAAGCGTCGATTTAGCACTAGCAGTTGAGAATGTTAACTATGAATGCAACAATTCATGGCATTAAGTGTTGCAATTGCAACGCTTAATGATATTTATATCATTAAGCGGCGTTTTATCATTAACGGTTGCTACATACGTCCCAAAACAAGTTAATTGCATTATTTCTGATATTTTTTCCCTGGCATATCAGATCATTTTAGATGAACACCAGACCTAAAATTGATTAAACTTAACGTTTTGGAAATTGTATGTGTGTAGAAATCGTCATCAAAATTTATATTGAAGCATTTTAATAAGTGTAGCTGAAAGTTTATAATAATCTTAGCCTACAGCGACTAGGAATGAAGAGACAAAGGGATTCCATGTGTCATGAAATAAAAAAATAAATAACTGTTTTTTCTTTTACTTCAGATATAAATTGATAAATTCTCAGTCAAATATTTTCGTGCAGTTCACATTTAAGGTCTGCTCATTTTATTGTCCTTTTGGGCAGCGCAAGAATTTTTAATCCGCTACTCTCCTCTCCATCCATTGGCATGCACATGCAGATGCTATTAATTCTCACGGAATCGTAATAAATATCAATGAGTGAAACAACAATATTACAATGTATGCTAATGAAAATACAATTCTTGTTTCGGGAGATAGTATTGTTGAAATCTTATATTAAATAATGTTTTCTTTACTTTGAAAAAAATAAAAAGATATATATTTACGTATAGTAACTTATAAGTATAGGGAAGACGATAGTTTTTACATAAATGAAGGGAAAAAATATCTAGGTATTATTAAATTCTTCAAAAATGCCCTGATCAATAGAATCGATAACCCCTAAAATATCTTTTCTTTAAGGATATCCGATCCTCAGCCAGAAAGGACAACTCTTTAATTTATTATTTAATACAAAATGTTTCAAAATGAAGCTTAAATATGAAATCTTTTCGTGCAACAATTTTCATTATATGCTCCTCAATGTGATTCAAGGTTCTTTGAAGTTTTAGAAACAGTCTTTTAAAACGTTGATTTTTTTTTACCCCATATAGGTATGTTAAAAACACAGATTGAAGAAATCGACTTTTCCTTTATTTTAGACTTAGATACCAATTATTATTAGCATGATATGAAATCAGAAATGATATATGGTGTTTTGCAATGATAGGAAACACTTTAAAAACTATGCATTATAAAATAATTGAAGTACACAGAAGAAAACTTATTAATAAGTACTGTATTAATATAAAAATCGTGCAATTTTCTTCAAATGCCTGGATACCTATAGTTTTTTTTTTATCCTAAAACGTTTTGATGATCAATTTCCAATTAGAAAATGCATAGTAGGTGTCTTTATTCGCATTTCCTGAATTTTTTTTTTTTTTTTTTTTTTTGATTTTTCCTATATAGTATGATTGACTTTAATGATGGAGTTTGAGCAATGAGCGATTGGGTAAACTCACATTACTTGGAGAATTCAGAGACATTTTTTGAGAGCACTTTCAATTATTCAATGGCTGACTTTCAGAACCTGAGGATCGGACTACCTTAACTCTAAAAAAATTCTACCTCGGAGATGTTCCATCAGATGACCTTCAATTTTAGATGGTATTGTTCTACGTCTAATTTCCTCCCCAGTCATAACGTCCCATAGGATAAGCTCGTTTGTGTCAATGGCAGCAATGGTATTTTTATTTTTTCCCACAAAAGTTACTCCTACGTTGTCTTTTATGTCAAGCGTGTACTTTAATTCCCAATGGGAGCTGCAGGATATAATCGCTTTTTTATACGTCTGCACAATAATTTGACCATCTGCTGCAAAAGCTGCACTGTATAAATCCTGCTTCATTGTTGACCTTGACTTTATTTCTTTTCCTGTGTGGACGTCCCAAGTTTTCAAGATATTGTCAGATGAACTCCCTGAAAATGGGTATTCCTAAGTATATTCTCTCAATTTGTGATTGAGGAATTGATGTTGTAACAAAATCTTACATAAATTGGTCCTTTTTACTGTATATTGGTATTATCATGTGGTTTTACTTTATAAACTTATTCATTATTTCTTCAGTAGTTATATATCCAAACTGAACAACACTAAATTAAATAAATGTAATATAAAATATCATTAATTACTTTCTCTTGTTTTGATAAAACAAACTTAATAGTTAAAAATCCTAAAAGAAACGACATTCAATAAAAAGATTTTTTCCATCGATTACCTTTTCAAAATGTCAAGTATTATATATTTTATTGCCCTCAGGAGTAGAAGAAAATCGTTACCACTAAGTGCTACAAGTTGTCCTGATGGATACAAATGTAGATCCAGGCTGGTCACTGCTGATGTATGTCCAGTAAGTGTTCTGACCAATTGACCCCCGGGCTTCTTGAGGAGAGAATGCGAGCACACAATGTAAGGGTATCTGCTTTGCTGGCATAGCGCTAGTAAGTCTTTATGGCACTATTAAATAAGAACCATAGTTTATTTTCTTATCATATCTATCAACAACCCTAAAACTGTTCTACGAGGAAGGTTTTATTAAAATTGCAGGTTTACTGGTTTGTATCCAAATTCCGTGGAGAAGGTTTTAAACAATTGTTCAAATAAACGGGAGCGAGAAATATAAAATAACGGCTGCCTAAATAGAATGATCGTCACATGAGAGCGATACCACCTCGTATATTATATCAGATGAAATAAGCGGGTCTATTGGGTTTCATGATGCAGAATTTAAGGAAGGATGGGATTTACTATAATTATAATGGTTTATATTGATCTTGTTAGCAAATAGAACCTATCATTGGGTCGTATTTTGGTTGACGCGTTTCATACCAATTGTTAAGCCTATGTTTTTATACATAATTTGACTACGGGATATTCTGTCTACCTCTGTCTGTCTACCTCTATAAAATTGTGCTTACGGCGGCTGTGACCGGTCAAAAGGGAATGCTTACTCATCCTAGGCATCTGATCCCATCCTGGAATTTGCGGGGTCCATGTTTTATGCCCTGTTTACGGATTTGTATTGTTTGTTTATTTTTTGAGATCGATCAGTGTTCGTTACCTTCTCCTTTTTCATATCCATAATCCATATTCTATGAAATGATTGAATTAATTTCTTTTATCTCTATTAAAAAAAAGTAAACAAACCAGCAAAAGTTTTGCTCTACAATTTATATTCCGATAAATATTGATAAAATGAGAATTGCAAGGTCTTTGCTGCACGATCAAGCACGATTAAAACCGCATACGACTGAACCCGATTCTCGCCAGATTTCTCACGTTACACGAACGATCACTCACGTTACGTGGACGATTCTACAGGATCGGTGTCAACAATAACATTGCGGCCACTGAACCCTGAAGTCCTTCCTCTCTAGCGGATTAAAATCTAAGTCCTCAAATACAATATTTCATTCTAAATAGATTGAAATTGTAAAAAAAAAAAAAAAAAAAAAAAAAAAAAAAAAAAAAAGCTGTGTTTTTAAGTATTTTACATGTATATACTTTTTTTTCTATCAGTGCCTAAGCAATACAAAGAATTATTGATATTTTTGAACATGGACTGAACTGTCTTCTCTTCTCATTAAACCAAAACACGATGAACACCATTTTTAAATAATTAAACAGATTATTCATTTTTAATTTCTATTCAACAGAATTACTTATACTAGGAATTAATTATACTAACTATAGCAAAAAGTATGATCTCCTGTTTTGGAAGTTATAAAGCGGATTTTAAAAGCACTGGCACCAAAAATTTGTTGAAAAGTATTGTGAAAACAAGATGTGTTTGTGAAACACTAATGCCCCCGTATGACAGCTTATGGCGAAAGTTAAAGTTTCTCAAATGCAAGTCAAAATCCAGGCCAAAAGATAAAAACTGTTAAATTTGAAAGCCCTACCTGCAACTGTTCAAAAGTTATGGCGAAGGTTAAAGTTTTTTAAATGTAAGTGAAACATCAAGGTCAAGGTCAAAGTTGTTGGTATCCAAAGGAAGGTCTTGTCACAAGGATTACATATGTGAAGTATGAAAGCACTAGCTCTTACCGTTCAAAAGTTATGGCCAGGGTTAAAGTTTTTCAAAAGTAGGTCAAACTCCTAGGTCAAGGTCAAAGGGTCAAAGAAGTTGATATCCAAAGGAAGGTCTTGTCACAAGGAATACACATGCGAGATTTGAAACCCCAGGCACCAACTGTTCAGAAGTTATGGCCAAGGTTAAAGTCTCATAAAATTTTGCAAAAGTAGGTCAAACGCCAAGGTCAAGGTCAAAAGGTCAAATATGATGGTACCCAAAGAAAGGTCTTGTCACAAGGAATACACATGTGAAATATGAAAGTCATAGCTCCAACCAATAAAAAGTTATGGGCAAGGTTAAAGTTGACAACAGACAGACAGACAAACAGATAAACAGACAAACAGACAGACAGGACAAAAACAATATACCCCCGGGATCTTTCGATCCGGACGCATAAAAATACAGACGAACAGTAAGAGAGGCAGATAGACGACATCAGCACTTACCAAATAATCAGTACGAATAAAACTTAATTTTATTTTACGACATACTATCAAAGCCTTTGCTTTCTTAAATCTCTATTTAAATAATTTTAAACTGGAACATTCGTATTTTAAATGTTTCAAGCAGAAGAATATTCATTAAGAGCAGTCAGGTTCATCACGCTAAACAATAGAAAGAGGGAATGAAATAACTGTATCTTGTGTAAACTTTTCGAAAGGTACATAACAAACCTCCGAGTTTTCAAGTCGGTCCAACAGATGTGATGGAAGCTGTCGGGGATCATGTGATAAAGCAGCAGACGACAAATTGATTGCCTGAGATAGCATTTCCAAATCTTTCTCAAATGGGAACAGGACACAAGCCAATGCAAAGTCGTCAAGTAAGTCTCTGTGTAAACATAACTTTGAAATCACACCTTATTGCCTCAGAGTAACCAAAAATACTTATATGAGTCTTTTGACATCACTCTGTAACTCATTAAATCGAGTAAATAAAATAAAGCTCTGAACAAATTACGATATACATATAAAACGGAATCAGATATACCTATCATGCTAGTTTTGAAATGTTTATAAGATGTTATGTTTTTACTCTATCACATCAAATTAATGTTAAATCTTTGTGTAATTTTAAGTCAGTACTATATAAGTATAAATCTATCAGAAATATCATATCTTGAATCATATCTAATAATTTCAGTTTAACTGAGATCACTAGATTTGATATATTTATATCATATCCTACAACTTCAGTATACTCATGAGTATTGATACATGTATCTTGCCCAATAACCTCACTATAATAGAAAACTAGTATTATTCTATGATATCATGTACTATTATTCAACTCAGTAAAACCAAGATTAAACACTAACTGTATAAGTATATAAACAGGCAAAAGAGTTTATAACGTTTAACCAAAGCTTCCATTTTCGTAGTAATAAATTCCATCAATGAAAATGTGTTCAGCATTTAACAGGCTTAATATTGATAAACTTTGTTCAGAGGCCATTCATATCTTATTATTTTTATACAAACTTCTTAGAAGCATTTGATAGAATTGTTAAGAAATCCTTATAATTCAAGATTTTCATGTTTGATCGAGATTTTTTATTAATTAAGCCTTGCATTAATCACGTAAAAGTAATAAATTAGTTATTGCCATTAATTACAAAAACAACTTAAATATTAAAAGCGTCGCATCCCTAATTTTGAGATTTTTTTCCTTTCTTTATTTATTTTTTTTTGGGGGGGGGGGGGGTTCTTGTTTGTTTACGTTTTTGGTTTTGTTTAGTATTTCCTCTGTCCCCCTTATTGAAGATCGCCTTGTTTATTGCTATGTTTATATAATGTTAGTCATTTTTTCTTTTATTAAGTTGTTTGTTTATGCTTACATCTCTCATTTTTAGCTTTGTTTCTGACTTTCTGTTTTAAAGTATGTCTCCACTGCCTCTGGTTATATTAAGGATTTTTTCAGAAATATAATTTTGGATATCTACTTATATCAAATGTGGAAAGAAAAGTGGGGGTCAGTGTGTATATTACTGAGCAATGCTCCAGTAAACTTGAATTTTTTGCACTTTTAATCACTTTAACCTCTGTCAAATTTTATCGGATGTAATCATGGCAATCTTATTTTATGTAAAATAGTTTATTTACAATAGATTATTGAAAAAAAATTGCCAATTAATGTCTGTATTTATTGTGTGACCTTTTTGCACTAACGAGATATATAATTTTGAGGTATTAAAAAATCTAAGCATGAAATAAAACACCATTTTCTATCAAGCTTTTTATGAATTTAGTTTAGATTAAATTAATTTAATCTAAAGTATTGGATAATTTAAAAAAAATAAAATAAAAAGCTGAAGCCAATGATGTAAATTTTGAAATAAAGGTTAATTTCAGCAAATTTCAGGCTAAAAAGCGAGATTAATTTTACCTTGACTATTTCAATATATCTGCAATTTTTGGCAAAGTGTGTTGAAAAAAACGTACGAAATTAGTTATAAAAACTATTATTCAACATTCCTAGCACATAATAACATGAAAATATATTAAATAAAACAAAGCTGTAGATTTAAAACATTTTTTTGAATATCTTTTAACCAGAAGAAATAGTCCCTTATTAACCTTATCTCTAGGCGATATTGTTAGCATTTTTTTTTTCACTAAACATCGTGCAATTTGCATTGTTTAACAGAAATATATATTATTGAAATGCGATTGTAATTGATATTTTTTATATTAGAGATTCTTACAACACTTTTCTCAAATAATCTAACGAGTGCTATACCTTGATCCCTTCATTTATTTATTGTTTTTGTCTTTTAAATACTGTAAATATAGTTTATTTTAGTTCACTTTGATCTTACTCAGTTGGAAGGCTTAGCAGTTTGTGAATAAGGAAGTCGAAGTTTAGAAGACAATGTTTCTTCAGATCTTTCAGGTTCTTTGATTTTGCTAGATGATAAGGAAGGTTTTTCATTTTTCTCTCGTTGATTTGATTCCCAAGTTGTATGGGCTGACTTGCAACATATCGAATTTCCTCTGCTTTTCCATTTCTATCATTAAATGGTTTGGGAGTGTCTGAAAAAGGAAATCTTGTGATTTCCAAAACTTTTCAAACTCTATATTTTTCAGCAAAGAAATATTCACACTTAAACCTTACAGACAATTAAAGAGAAACATTACAACATGAAAAGCACAGAGTCCATTATCTTTTCACCTTCGTTGTGTGGAAAACATTTTTTCTTTTCATAATAAATATTTTATTAGCATTAAAGATTATCAAACTTGGGTATTCCCAATCTAATTAAAATTAGATCTTCCATTCGCTCCCCGATTTTTTTTATTCCTCGCGACATATAAAAGATCGGGGAGCGAATGGGAGATCTAATTTTAATTAGATTAGGGTATTCCTATCATTACTTACTTCCAGCCCATCTTCCTAAGAAATAATCCGCTAGACCAGTGTGAAGCTGAAGCCTTGTTGATTCATCTTTGGTGTATCGATTTTCTGCTGCCTCCCAGAACTGACGGTGGTACCAACTTAAAATCTGGATTCCTGAATCTCCTCGATTCACTACAAAATCATTATAGAATTTAACTATGCTTTGGTTTTTAATAAATAGATAAAATGGGAAAACTGCAAAAAGAGCAAAGAAATTAAAGAAAAAATGTTAAAATTATTGTCATTTATTGATATATGGAGAGTAGTTTCTCTTTAACATACCAAGATACCGACGTAGATCATAGCGTAGGCGTACTATCAAGAGTGGCGGAAGCCTTCTGATTGGTGGAGTCCAAAATTGATACACGTCATTTAACACGTCATCATCACAGGATAAGATGTCTTCCAATTCAAATTCTGACAAACCGTGCTTTGCTTAGAAGAGAAAATGAATTCTTAAGTAAGAATTTCTGCTGATAAATTATAATGGTTTTCGAAGGAATAATTTTTGGAGACCAGGTCCTCCAACAATCTGTCGGAATTCCTAAGGGCACTATTTCTACCCTTTATTAGCAGACCTGTTTTCGTACTCTTATGAAGGAGAATTTATCAGGAAAAAAGAAGTCTCTTGCTGTGGCCTTCAATTGGACATTTAGATATATCGACGATGTTTTATCAATTAACAGTACTCAGTTTGGTTTCTATTCAATTTGATTAGATTGGTACTATTGAACTCGAGAAAAGTCACCACAATCTCTGTCAAATCTACATCATATTTTAATATTTTACAAGAGAAAGACATTGATCGCAAATCAACAGCTACACTTTATGATAAACGTTATGATTTAAACTTTTTTTCTAGTCAACTTTCCTTATTTAAGTAGCAATATACCATTATCACCTGCATATGGAGATTATATCTTCCTGTTGATCTGATACGCATTTTCTAAATACGAACAATTTCTAAAACGAGGCAGATTATTGACAAATAAGTTGATGATAGATTGAACCATCTTTCTTAAAATGAACTTTTTGCATATTTTATGGTCCATAAAATTACTTCAGTTTTGTTTGTAAATAAAATCTTTCATAGGTCGATTGCTGACTGAAGTCTTTTCTGAAAATTGTTAGGCCAGTATTTTCATCCTGTATTGCCTACGGATTTTTTTTTTGTTTAACGATCCTGACAAGAGACACAAGGAATAATTCTTCTTCGTTACCATCACATTTAATTCTCAAACTGAGCCTGTGAAGTCTATCAATAATTTTAGAAATATTGCTTTTGAAGTATTACATGTAAGCATACCTGCCGTGATGTATCCAAGAGCCCTAGAAACAAATATACGACCATGTTTTGTTTCCATTTTTTGAAATAACTGATCTATGCTTCCTCGAATAGTGTCCTGCAGACGGCACTCTTCAATAGGTCTAAATGATGTCCATTCAATTGCCTCCCGGAATGAAAGTTTGATGAACAGAGGGAGCGGACACTTCTCAAACATTTCTAAAACATACGTGCGTTGTGCATCAGTAAGAGTTCGGTTACTTGTCTGAAAAAAATGGTCCAGGATATCTTCCCGGTCTGATGATGTCAGCAAGGGGACGCGAAGAAAATTTTCCTCTGCAGTAAATGTCTGAAAAGATATGATCTCAAAATCATTCTACTCTTTTTGCTGCCCATATATATTTGGTCATATATTGATTATGCAGTGGCAATAAAATTGCGGAAAAATTCGAAGCAAGATTGTTGAAGAAGCTTCAAATATATACCTATTCCAAACTTGTCCAAAATATTCTTACAGGGTTACCTTTTTAATGGTTTTGAACTAAACAGAATCTAAACAAGGACACTTTTAATTTTTGAGTCTGTCTAAGGACTACATACCATAAACGCGTATGTTCTATGTCGTGTCTGTTCACTCTTGACGGTAGTCTCTACTCTATTTTAGAAATTTTTACCTTAAGTAGGGTTGAAATTTCTCAAGTGTGCATTTATACATTTTTTTTAAATTAATAATTTTCTTAGATCATTTCAGTTACATTAAAAATCAACTGAAAAGTTTGAGTTTTATTTTTAAGGCATTTGTTTTGACTATATACAACTTAAGTATCGACACAAGAGGTCTATGAATAAGCTCTGCGGTGATTATTTGTAAGGACATGAATTACTGCGTAGCCAGAAATTATTTTCACTAGATCTAATTAAAAAATATCATAGCTTGTAAGTTGCATTTCATGTCAATACACAAAGACACGTAAAAATAATAAAACAAGTAGCTCTATTTTATTTTCCAGTTGTTCCCAAGAAATACCAGTATGTCCCAAAGTTCTGAGAAATATTAGTAATTTCCGGCTTTTTGCTCAGCTTGTTGATAAAACAGTCAACCCTTCTTATCTCAAAATCTCTGAGGCTGATAAAAGACTTTAATATATCAGAATATTTGAGAATGAGACTAAAATATATACAGAAAAAGTTATGGAAATTTCAAATTCCTTAGACATAACTCTTTTATTTACCGGTACTAATCTTCTTCTTTTTGATCTCGGCCGCGACTGACCTAAGTCGATAAAAAAAAGGTTGCAACTGTTACTTCGCCATGCACTCGGCACTTCGAAGTGAAATTTGCTGGTCCTTCGGATGAGACCTTAAAAACCGAGACCCCGTTTCACGACAAGCGTTGGCACGATAAAGATCCCTCACTGCTCAATGGCCCTGAGTGCCGAGTAAAGCTCAAAATTTGAAGCCCTTCACCGGTATATGGTCACGTCTCTATATGAGTGAAAAATTCTCGAATGGGACGTAAAACAACATACAATCAATCAATCTTCTTTTTGCATTGTACATTTGTTGGTTGTACATCACGTGTTTACATGTGTATGTATATGTCATTCTGTTTGTGTTGAAGAGGACAATCTAAATTGGTATAACTTGTGTCCAATCTCATTGATTATGTTTCAATAAAATATGTTTAAATAAAATCAAATAAACTATTTTACTGGATATTTAAACTATAGAATTTTCACAATTTAATTATTATTTCACCTTTATGTCTGGGAAGACTCCAAACTCTGGTTGATCGAGGGTGGAGATAATAATCTTTGTATCTTTTATCAGATTCTTCGGAATCCAGGAACTGACCACTCGTCCATTATGAGCTGATTCAAGCTGGTCGATGGAGTCGATGAAGAGGATGACCTTTTTCTTTTTTAAAATGAAGAAATGCAAACAAGTCCGAAACTGCTTGATGAGAACTTGTAAATCCTTTGAAAAAAAAGAAAATTTCGATTCAGAATAAACTGTTGCTCCTATAATATGTCAAAATTGACAGAATTAAAAGGCATGCAAAGAAATTTAACTTTGAATTTATAGATAAGTCTACTTGTTTAAAAAGACATTCAAATGAAATGTCTTGAATTCTTTAGATTTAACAGGTTTTAATGCTTCAGTATTCTTGTAATTTAGTGCAAAAAATATTCCAAAAGTGAATGAAATCATTGTATTTTGCAAAACCCATCTGCTATAGATATTTTAGACCCATTTTGAATTATCAAACAGATATGACTGTTCACGGTAGCTCAGTCGGTAGAGCGCTCGCTCTGTGATCGGGAGGTCGTCAGTTCGAATCTGGACCGCGACTGACGTAAGTCGATAAAAAATGGGTAGCAACTGTTACTTCGCCATGCACTCGGCACTTTGAAGTGAAAGCGGGTCCTTCGGATGAGACCTTAAAAACCGAGGCCCCGTTTCACAACAGGCGTTGGCACGATAAAGATCCCTCACTGCTCAATGGTCCTGAGTGCCGAGTAAAGCTCAAAATTTGAAGCCCTATTTTTTGACTTTATAGTGCAATTTTTGGCCACGAAAACTTTTCCTCAAAAAGCACAATTTAGATTTGCCTCAGCTAAAATTTAGTCAAGATGTTTTTCTGTTGGAAGAATTTGACACTTCTTGAAAAATGACTTTGCCTAAGAGCGCATGGTGAGCTCAATTAAAGGACATTCCAGTACCTGCCTCAGGTAAAATTCATTGGTCCTCTGGTAAGAGGAATACTCTTACTGGGATTAAAAACTGTATTAATCCCTTCAAAATTATCAGAAGAGGATTCTTGACTTTTTCTGCACCGTTAGTTGTTGAAATGTCAGTTATTATGTATATAAGTGAAATGAAGAATGATGAGCTTTAAAACTTTTTTATCTTACCCATTTAGTTTAGCTACAAATGAGAAAAAAAATTATCGTGATATGTAGTGTACCTGGGACTTAACTTCCGGTAATTTGAAGTATGGTGAATCTGGGATATCATGGATTGAAGAAGAGTTAGGAGATTGGAGCTCTCCTGTGTCGATCCTAGAAATCTGTATAATAATAATATGATCAATTAAATAAAAAAAGAAAGCCACACCTCCTATTTGAATGTGAAGTTTTCCAAAACATTTAACAACAGACGAGTTACTTGGTAACAACAAAGGGAAAAATTGCGAAAGTTTTTACAAAAAACTCCATTTTGAGGAAGATTGTGACCTTAGATAAAGAAGAATGGATTGAATGAACATGTTGACAACAACATACAACATTAACAATAAAAGATATATCATTGACAAGCAGTCAGTCATGAAATTATACAAGTCATTCTGCAAGGGACTACTAGATGGAGGTACAATTTGTGATTGCAAATTTCATTTCTCTCTCTCTCTCTCTCTCTCTCATTTGCATAGTTAGAAGAAATAAATCTGGCACAAATAACCAAATTGTATAGAGTGTATTCAGCCGTACCTCATGAGTACCATCCCTTTGCCATGTATCCATTGGAATGCCTGCTTGGCAGCTAGTGCCATGATGGAGGTCTTCCCACATCCAGACTCGCCGTGAACAATAAGTGTTTCCTTACTGTTTCCAAGCACATAATCTTTGATTTTCTTAGAAAACATAAAAGAAAATGTTCTGTTTCAATTTCAAGTAAACTTGTGTTTAAACTTCATGTGAACTCTTCTTTTAAAATGCGTATACAGCAATTATGTGTATTTCGCTAATTATCCTCGTATCCGAATCTAGTCACTTTTTTCTTGTTTAGAGTCCACGGTTTTCTTTGCCTTTTATTCACAAAAGATCACTTATTTCACAACTGTAATTAATTATAAGTGCTTTTCTTAAGGTTTCATATTTTGGCCTTCACAAAGCGAAAACAAAGCTGTCAACAGTATATTTATTTTCAGAGAAAAAGAAGTTATAAAGCAGAGATATGCCTACATTGTTTAACTAAAACAAACGCTGCCTGGGTATTTTCTTTATGGTAGATATTTTTATTTTATATTTCTTTTGCTTTTTCTCTTTCATTTGATAAATAACAAACAAAGAGTGCTTGATGAATATTTCAATTCATATCTGCTGTATTATACATGAATATAATATGTACATGTATAAATTTCAGATTTTACTTTTCAGATAAACACATTTGAGATATGAGATACTTCTTTTCTTCGAAAAAATGTCTTGAAGTTGCTTAATTGCAACTCCTTTGACCTTTTACCTTAATAATTTCGTCACGACCTCTAATTCCCGAGGATTTTTCTTCAACGAGCGCAGCATGTCTCATAAACTCTTCATGTTCAGGTTTCAGTGACAATTTTTTGTTGCTTTCTCTCTCCTTAATTGCTTCGTCTATTGAGACTATCATCTGTGTCTGGAAGTCCTCGGTAATCTGTTCTAGATATTCAGCATGTTCTTTGTTGTTTGGGTCAATCCCTAAAAGACATAGTGGGCTTTTTTTCAAAATCCTTCCAAAAGGTAGAATTAACAAGAAATTTCTTATCGTCTCCATTTCAAGCCCAGAAAAACAATTAAAACAGCAGTGGGGAATACTTGGTAGTGGAAGTAAACTAATTTGATGACAAACATTTTGTGGACCTTATATTTACGGATACACTGTATGAGTTGAATTTTTAACGAGACGTAAATTTAGCGATAAAGCCCTAAAAATTGGTATATAATTTTAGCGAGAAGTAGTTTAAACTATTTGACAATATCTTACAAGATAGTCTGACCTCCTTAGTGCTGAATGAATTGCTAGCAATATCCAATTTTAGCGAATCTCAACACCCTCGCTTATAATAACAAAATTGAGTCCTCGGTTAAAAATTCTGATTATACGGTAACTCTTAAATTGCATGTAGCTTTTTGTGCATATACATGTAATAATAAACTCTTTTATTGCAAAAAATTGTAGCTTTTCGGACCTCCGTCCTAATATTTTCAGATCCCATTGACCTATGGACAGACAGCTATGTTACATGATGTTTCTAAAACAGAATGTTTCTTCGAAATAGGCTTTTTATTCTCAAACAATTCGATAATCCAAAAACATTAGAATTCTCTGCATATCATTCTTCTTAAAAATGTCCCTTTGTTTTTTGAACAGAAAGATGCATACCAGGTAGTCTGTTTTGAATGATTTTTTCACGCATATTTAGAATTTGTGAAGTTTATCGATAAAAATGACTTTTACATACGTACATTATGCACGGAAAACCCAAAGAGACAAAATGTTAAAAGTATTTTTGTCTTGCAACAATCAACATGTACAAATATTGTACACATTATTTCCTTTCATTTTGTTTACTTATAATACCTTTGGCTGTTTTATTTCTCTTATACACGTACATCTGGATGTCCCATTTAAGTTACATTCATATATCTATTGATCATAAGTCTTCGAATTTTTAAATCAAAATTTTAAGTTCATATTTTTCCGATTTATGATATTTTCAATGTTAATTTATAATATAATAAAAAGGTCTCTATTGGTATGATATAAAACGTCTCTACTGGTATGATATGACAATGTATCTATTGGTATGATATAAAACGTCTGTATTGAGATGATCCTCCCTCTATAACTTAATTACGGGGTCACATAAAAACATTAACTTTGACTTGTTCTGCAATACAGTACCTAAAAAATCAATTAAGTAAGTGGATCACTATATTCAAACTCTGCAGCCAACGTAAAGATGTACCTTTTTCTGTCCAGTTGAGTTCGTAAGTGTAAATATTATCTAGTTTTATCTTCTCCTCCATTTGTTTTTGTAGGGCTTTGTTCTTTTCCCTAGCTGTTTTCCATGCTTCTTCGTCTCCCAAACATTCTGTATTTGAGAAAACTGATTTTATACAATCAAGAATCCGAAATGATGATTTAACACATGATATTCACCTCGTACACTGCAAACATTAAACCAATTACGAGTTTTCTGAGTTCTAAAAAATGATTATCCTTAAAAATGTGACGTGACTTATTCATCTAGAAAACATTGCATTTATCAATAATGTGTATTTGAATCATATAAGACTGAGTGACATCACCCCTTTTTAACAGGTTATATGACGTATTAAAACTGTTGATATCATTCGATAACAATGAATGCTAAATCAATACCTAGTATACCCTTGACCTTAGATACATTATGCATAAAAACAATTATAATTAAATGTTATTGCTTAATTGATAAGTATTAGTATAACACTAACATTTCATTGATATTCCACAATTCACCATCGTGAAAGACAATCACGTCACTTGACTTGTCTTATTAGTATGTTCAATTTGTGTTAGCATGTAAATTTTTATCTGACTTAATGCAAAGTTACTTTCTGAGAACCGAACGACATCTTGAAATCTTAATGTGTCCTTCGGAGAAAAAAGGAACAGTCAAGATTTTATCCTAGTTAAAGGAAGCCTTGCAATCGTACCCATTATAAGCTTTAAGAGACTTTGTGTGCTTTTAAACAAGACTTAGTATTTATGTTTTAAATTCCTTCAGATAGAAGTCCTTTTAAAATAAAGTTATGCGTGTCATTTGTCTCAAAACATCACCCACCTACCAACTTTTAAAAGAAATAAAATGTTTAATAGTAAAACTTTGTTTCAAGAGAATTGACATATTTGAAAGATATTTACTTTTAAACAAGTATTTGTTTCATATTTTAAGTTGGTTTAGATAAAAGGCGTTTTAAATAAAGTTCTGCATGTCATTCGTCTTAAAAACCATCCACCTATAAAGGAATATTATCTTCTAGTGAAACATGTTTCAAGAGAATTGACATTTTTAAAAGTAAAACATATCCGGATAGAGTCAAGGGAACTGTCAGGGGTATTCTGATTGTAAAATATACATGTACACCTCTATGTATTTGGGTGGTGACGAGAAAAACCATGCAATGTATAAGACAGATATCTGCTTCATAGGAAAATACCATAATTTTATGGATACTAACAAAAAAAATTAATAAAGGTATATTACAACAGAACATAAACAGTCTAAATAGAATTGAAATATTACACTGGATAGTTTCAAGAGTAATCGATGTACGTACATAACGGACAGACACGCGTATACGAATGAGATGTGTAGAATGTCGAGAGATAAGAGAACATAGATACATTTGACAATGATACATATTTCAAAGTGTGTATACATTTTACATTCCAGAATAAGAGGTTTAATAAGTGAACATTCTATTGTGCATGCATACGTCTTTCTAAATTTAATTCGAAGGTATGATTTCTTTGAAAATTCTGATCGAGTTGAACTGTATTATCTTGAGGAAATGAGCTTTAAATGCGGTAAACTTTTGATGTACAGTCTATAGGTAGTCTATATCTGTACTGGATTTAGTTGGTATAATTAATGTCTAAGAACACATAAAAATCACATCATAAAGCATGAAATATACATAAATAACTCCTAGACAAATCTTACCGATGTATCTAGATAGTGTATAACTGGGTTCCTGATTCTCAATATTCCGGAACTTTTTCCGGAACCAGAAGCACTTTTTATTGACGACCCGTTCTTTTAACCCAGTTTCCGTTTCCATTTCTGTCACTAAAAATAACATTAAAATATATAAACCACAACATCTTTATTTGTCGTTTCTAATATATTTATTTTAATTGACATCAACAAAGAATGATGTGGTTGAATTATTTTTGATTAATGGATTAAACGGATTCTGTTGGTATTTAAAGCCATTTAATGCTATTACTACAAATACTGACATTCTAAATATTTTTTAAACATTAATAAGAAATAGCTAGCACATGTCTTTGCTATAGATTACAATTACGGCGTAATTGCCAATACACAGTACAATTGCTATTTAGAGAATGAACCTGATAAGAATAGAAAAAATAGTCAAGCTCAAATAGGTTTATCACTTAAAATATGATAACATGACAAAACGATCTGTTAAAATTCAATTTACAAGTGTTAAAACCAACATGATACAAACCTGACATTTTATACTTTGTTGCCTCTTTCTCGTCGAGGCCTAACGTGGCCCCACGGACAAAGATTTCCAGAAGCTTTTCGCTCTCGTTCCAGAATTGGGTTTTCGCAGCTTTCTGTTTTTCAAAGTCTTTTGACAAAAAATCTGGAATATTTCTGCTAATGGGTTTTAACACAAAAACTTCTGGAACCGCGTTCCTGTCCTTTTCATACCATCTATATAAGAATGCATAAGAATAACTCACTGAAGAATAAGGCGTGAATTCATGGTAATTTTTTACAAAGTGTTGGGAGGGAAAGTCTATTTAACCAGTCCCAAAGCCTCTGCAATCTTTCAGTGGGTTTTTTTTTCAATTAATATATAAATTACCATTTCCAAAGCAAAGAAATCCAAATTTTATACTATAGTTCTTAAAATATGATCATGAGATTCTTTTCTTTACTACGATGTGACATTCATGTACATGGACATATGAGTCTGTCTTTGTTTAAATGTCATGTATTTTTTAAAATATTTTTTTGTAAATTCAGTGCAATTAAATGCGAACCTTGTCATGAGTTCTAAATCTGCTGGATCTTTTATCTCTGAACGGATCTTCAAAAACTCCTCTGCATCAATAACCCTTGATAAGGTTCGGTAGCCATATTTGTGGGCAAAGAGAGACTGTCAAAGAGTTCATTTATAATATAAGCATTGTTTGTTTTCATAATAGATAGATTTGAATGCATTGTTTTAAAATAATACATGTATTAATCATTGAAAATTATTTTCTTTAAGTTTCATTTTTTTTACTGCTTGGTGTTAAAGTTTAAGCAGTTATTATGTATATGCATGTACGTTTGATTTATTCCTTTTACATACTAGAAATAAACTCTCCAGCAACTCCACTCACAAGTTATAAAAAAAAATGAAGCATGATTTTGTAGAAGCCATTAGATTTGGTTCTGAATTTCCAACTTCCATGAAAAAATTGGCATTTAAAATGTTTACATGTACAGCAGCAAGCAAAATTGCCTCTTTTTAAAATTTTTAGTCGAATGGGGAATGAGATACTACTTCAGAATGACCTGTTAAAATTGCAATAACTATGAAAGCTCAAAAATGTGCATTCCTTACTATAAAACTTGGTCCTTTTGAAATCTGCTGACATTGATGCAGTTCATGCATACAAAGTTCAGTGGTCATGTGATCATCTGTTGCTTGGTGACGGATGCCCCATCTCATGTCCACCACCTGAAACTCATAACCCTTCTTGAAACAGTGTTCCTTTATTTTCGGGTAGGCTCTGGCCATCCAGCAATTTCTTTCGTATTTTGTATCTGTTTGAAAAAAAATAAGCACTTCACACTTTTTTTTTATCTTTTAAAACAATACTGTATGAATTGTTAGGTCTTAGGATACCAAAATCCCGAGAAAGTGGGAATTTTATCATACCTTTTTTTGTTCTTGCCATTTTAGGACCAAGTTATTATGTTTCATGGTAAAATTAGAGTAAATTTGTATTTTTTTTAAGATTATGCAGTTTTTCATTATTTGGCTTTTCTTTTCAATAAAATAAGTAGATCCCGTGAGAATGAAAACATAAGACTCTTTTGATAAGGAAATTTCTTTCTAAATAATAATTAAGCCCAGACAAACTGTTTACAGACTTCTATAAGATATCTATTTGAGTATCCTACGTCCTTAAACAGAATTTGACTGTTTGATATTTTTTTTAAGTTTAAAAATGATTTTTTAAAAAAAATTGTTTGCTGCATACATGTACAAGTATACAAGAGCTATGTAAAAAAAACATATGCAAATAACCATTCCACCTTACAGAAGACTGTCAAGTAAAACAGAAAAACGCATTAAAACGCATGATTTATCGCCTAAATATACCTGTAAATGTGCTGCTTGTAAAAATACGTATGGTTTTCGTCGTGTTAGGAAATTTGGCAAAGAAATTTCCACAAATAATCGCGTCTTGAAACGGAAAGGCCTTGAAAATCATCATCTCAGTTTGGTTAGCCATTTCCAAAAGTTTATCTAATTCCCTCTTTTGACGTTCAATAAATTCCTTTCTTTTCGTCTCTTCCTCTGCAGTGAGCTGCTTTTTTGCTGGTGTAGCGGTGCTTGGACCCGGATTTTGTGCGTCATTTTGAGGTGGAGATGCACTCTGGGACACTAGATTGCCTTGATTTTCAGCTCTACTTTGGGCCTGAGATCCGGGGTTTCGAATGTTAGTATTTTGGGGAGAGTCAACATTTTCTGTTTCTTCGCTGGCAGGTGCACTATTATTAAGAGAAAAAATAATAATGTAAAAATGTTGAGTATGATTATAACTGGTTGATTTAAAAGGGACCTAGGGAACAACCTCTTAACAATATCAAAATTTATTAGGTTATAATTGGGGAGGGGGGGTTCATGATATTAAAAAAAGGTTATTAAAATACTCTGAAGTAAATAAATTCATTTAAAACAAGATTTGAACATCTTGCAAAATTCGAGTGGATTAACATAATTGCAAAAAAAAAAAAAAATAGTATCGAAATGGTTTCTTTAAAGTTGATTATCACAATACATACCGGCGCTCGCCTTCTAGTGACTAAAGCAAGAGATTTTATAACTAAAGATGCCCAATGTCTTAAAAAAAATTTTAAACTTCCAAATGACAATCAATAACTTCGAATTAAGACACTTTTAATTTGGTTATATAATGTTTTAGGTATTCTTTTACACTATAGTACATAATGTATCTCTTCCTAATTTTCAATTGCAATTTTTGGCCTAACATTTCCTTAAAATATTATCCATTGATATTTTTTTAGACATTTTCTATTGATTTTTACAAAAAATAAACAAGGCAGATGTCTTCACACAAAAAGTGAGAGGAGGGAGAATCAAAGCCAAGAAGTGCCATGGACAGGCTCAATTCACAAGTATTTTACGAGCAAAAAGCTTAACAAGCAAGAAGGAGATATAAGAATTTGAAAATTGATGTTAAAACCAATAGCACTTGTTTCTGTAAAATTTACCTCCGAGTTAAAATTATATCGTTATGTATCCAAGTACGATTGCATTGTCATTTTAACGAGGTTGGATCCTGATATTTAAAGTCTTAAACTTTTTTTGTCAAGTATATTTTTAGTTTCTACACACATAGCTTAATTGAAAATCAAAACAAAGAATGGGGGTCAATATGCTTCTTTTGGCGCTACAGTTCATTTAATATGACCTTTTTGCACTGAAATTTGTGTCTTAATCAGAAATCACATCTTCGACGTTTTCCCTCCAATGTTTTTATCCAAATAAATCATGGGACAAATTAAACTATTAGTCTATTTAAATAAAGGTCCAGACCAGAATCTGCTCGAAAGCTCAGGATCGAACCTTCTTAAGTGTGTACCATTTTAATTTCTTCTACAATAATTTATTTACAAAACCATTCTGACGCGCTTGATTTTGTTGTTTTCTTTCTGAGGAACACTGCTCTCCGACTTGAAAATTTGTTTTACACGATAATGCGCAAATTTATAGGCTAATCACCACTTAATCCAATCTTCAAACGCACAACTGAAACCGGTAAATAAACATTGCACGTAGATCCACAATGATTTCAGTAACTCCGTGATATACTATTTAATTATAGCTTTGGATCCTTTCATCAAAAAGTTCGTAGAAGTCATGTATATAATGAGCCATTATAAGAATAACTTCTTAATTAACCCTGTTGAATCCGCCACCTCTAGGGCAAATTCTTTGATCATACTTTGTTCATACATGAATAACACAGTGGGACAAAATGAAAATCTTTAATCCACAATATTTACCTGCTTTGCGATGCCAGTACATTCTCCCGATCTACGACTTCTTGCAGATATTTCCTATACATGGCGAGATCAGCTACTTAATAATAGAGTCCATGTTTTTAGTTAGACACCATGCTTTTTCGCCATATTTGTTTATATTCGTTATGGATACGGGTCAATTATTTACCCTCTCTGCATCGATGATCTTCAGCCTTGGACATTTAATATTTAAGTACGTCTTGTTACTGTTGATTTAAAATATCTCTTTTTAATTGCATTTGTTTAATTTTGTTATAGTTACGGTAAAATAAAATTATAACCTTATGGTAATTAATAATAAGTATTCTACATGTAAATTTTACTAGTACTTTGTTTCTCTATGAAACCCGGAGTCTGGAGTCTGGAGTAATAATACATACGATCCAGACAGCAAGAGCTATAACTCATTGAAAATCATGAATTAAATCTTGAGTTTTATTTGATAAAATTACAAAAACAATGACAAAATTAATTAGGTTTTTTTTTTACCTGTGAAAGGTATAGCATGTACCTTCGAATATGTATAACCTTAAATAATTTAAAATAATTTTGGTTCTAACGCGTCATTTGATTATATAAAAAATAGTTTATATCGTATAACCTGTGTTGCCTGCGTCACAATGACATGTCAGAAACGTATCAACCACTTGCCGTTACTTTTAAATTATGTTCAATTTGACGGCATTTTGAGGGAGACATTTTCTTATTTTGCACACTTCATGATGAAAAAATTAAGTTATCAAGAATAAATTTAATAGCTACCCAAGTTATACTAGTATAAACTAGGTTGGAACAGTTCACGCTTTTTTGATAAACCGCTTCACGGTTAATAAAATGTAAACGGCCCTATCCCAAGTTATACAGTATAACTTGTTCCTTAAGTAAAAAAAAGAAAGAATATCAAATAACATGCAATATTTATTAATTTACTCATTTATTTATTTTATTTTTATTTATTATCTTTTTTATTAGGTCATATGTATGCAAAAATTGGGAAGACCAAAGAACTTCTTCCCGACTGGTATTTTTAAGGGGGTCAAACTGGGATTTTCGTTGCGCAATACTTCGCGCAGCATATTAAAATCAAGCGTATTTATTCCTTTAACTATTGTCCCATATTTATCAAAATTAAGAAATCACAGGTTAAAAAATCTAATTCATTAAAGAACTTATTTTTAACCAATTTTTAACTGATAAGTAGATGGACGTCATAATTACGTGTTTGTGACGTTATGAATAACTGAAGTTCTTAAAGAGGGGACCATAAAAATGTTGTTAAAGAAAAAGAATGAAACATATGCTCTTGAAATTCTAAACACAAAAATTTGAAAATATCAAAATTATTTTCTGAGTTTTTTTTTATATACATGTAATCATTAGTACCTGTCATAATCTGTAGAACTCCATAAAAACAGGAAATTTTCGTAAATTTTTACATTTTGAGATGCCCCTCTGGAAACCAAACGATGCGATTTTGTGTGTTTTCATATATGTATATAAAGTACAACAAGTATTACTCATCATATATTATAATCTGAGCAAGAAGTCAACTGAAGTATTTGTAAAATTTGTTTTGAAGTGCGAAAAACTAGCACTTTCCCATATGACATATAATCCTATAGTTAATGTTTCTGTATTTTGAAGCGGCCCCTAAAACTAACCAAACGATAGCTTTTCCCTAAACTTGGCATGTACACATAAGTCAATGTAAGTTTCATATGATATAAATTTAAAGAGTTTTCTATTGTAGTTTTCACCCAATAAAATATATACATTTAATGGAATTGTATCGTGCAAAAACATTATGCAAACAAATTCTAAACAGATATTAAATATACAACTGTAGTACTCAAAAATGTGACCAAAATATATTGATTTTCCTATTCAAGAAATGGTCAAGGAAAAAGTTTACAAGAGGAAATTAACAGTTGGAATTTCTCAACAAATATATCCTTTAATATGGCACACTCTTCTGAACTCGACAGCCATTCCAACCTTTCTTCGAGTACCTCACAATATCAAATTTATGAAAATCTTTGTAAACGATTATCCTTCATATTTATATCGATGAATTCACCCTTTTTTGACCTTACAATATAGTCTACAAAGGCCAAATGTGCGTCTACAAAATGTTACAAATACTAGCATTACTGCTGAAAATGCATAAAGTAAACCGTAGTGTTAGTTGTATTTTTATAAACATTCAACATTAGTTAATTAACACTTTTACACTATTTATACATATATATTGCTAAGTCGTCTTTGGTTTCATCATCTTCATCGTTGTCTCAATTATCATCGTCGTCATCTTCATCATCACTGAATGTTTCTTCAGGTTCTTCATCCTCTTGATCTGGATCATCAGGAGATACAGTTTTGTCATTATCACCCAGTACTTGTAATCTAAATTCAGTATCTATAAAGAGGTTTCAAAAATTGTTACATGTAAATATGCAAAACAAAATCCTCATGTTCCAAAAAAAAAAAAATTTAAAAAATCATGAACTAATAAAACAATTTCAAGATTGCACATAAATTACATGAATGTTTAATGGCTTTTTATCGTGGGAAGACCGACAAAATATCCTCAATATTTTAAAGATACATACCATCGCTCTCGTTTATCAATTTCTGCATCTCAAGATCATTTTTGTCGAATTCGTTCAGTGTGAAATGCACAAGATTTTGGTCTAATTCAGCCAGGAAGCTTTTCCCATCGCTTGCTGGTGTCACTTTCCGGAACTTCATTAAAAAAAATTAAAGTTAAATTTCATCTTAACCACAATATTTATAAAACATATGTTGTAAATTGGCAAATTATTTAAGTGATATAATTCGTATTTTTACATAATCTTACTATGAGATGTTACCAAGCAACGTACGCTACGAACCATTTTACTGAAATCTATTTTAGTTTAATATATGATTTTTCCGAGAAAAAAAACTTTTAACAATTTGTGAACTAATAAAGGGAATAACTGAATGCCTATATCATTGTTTTTTGTTTGTTGTTTAACGTCCCTCTCGAGAATTTTTCACTCATATGGAGACGCCAATTGGTACATTGCAGTATAATTGTAATTTTCTAAGTTTTCTTGAAATAAGACGTAATGGATAACTCAAAGGTCTAAGAGCCACATCGCCCCCTGAGCACTTTGGCTACTGCTAGAAAAAAAAAACAGAAATTAATCAGTTTTGGAAAGACATATTTGGTTTAGTTCGACATATTTGGGTACTTGTGCGTATAGCTTTCTTTTGCGATCTTTAGAGGTCCGTATTTGCTCTGCTCCAAATCTGTATTATTCCAGTTGACCTTTGACCTTGATTACTGTTCGTTATCTTCCTATTTTATTCCATAAAAGGGCTCTCCAGAAGTTCGTGGATGGCGTTTTTGTCATTTTGTGACTGGTCAAAGATAGATATATTGTGTATAGAAATATTTGGTATGAAATGCAAAGTCAGTTTAGTTTCGTTTTGCTTGTTTGACCTTACATTTCATGTTAATTTTTCCATCTTAAAAGGTCGCAGATTGCGCACACCCCAGGGTCAAATGGAAGAAACTTTATACTATTTTTAGATTTAAATGATTAATGTATTTTTCATAAACCAAGTTAAAACTAATCAACATTTTAAATCGAAGTACTTCAATGACTTTCTTCATTTCTAATGCTGTGCTATTAGTTTCGGTTATCAAACAAATTAAGGAATCGTCAAAAAAGAAGGAAGAATATCTTTGAAAACGCCCCCCAAAAATAGACAGCAGCCTTCCAGATGAACCAGAGAGTATCCAAAAATTATTTGTTGGTTTAACGGAAACGATGTTAGAAACGATAAAATAACTGAATAAATCGGGAATCAGGATATTTCAGTTCATCGATTTACAAGTGGCATAAACGGTTCGCATACGGTATGTACTTATGTACTATTCGAGAGACGTTGCAAGATGTTACAATGTATGCGCTGAAATACGAAATCCGGTATACATGACGTTACATGACTTCAATGTTTTAACTCTCTTTTTCAACTTTTGAATTTCTTAATCAACTGAATACTGTACTGCTTGAAAAACTATTCTTTCCAGATATCAAAACCATATTTTTTATATGGACTCTTCAGTTTTTTTTTTTTGTATTTTTGTTTTTTTTGTTTTTTTTTTTGTAATAAGGCTGTTTCACATGCGCATTCATTTTCATCTCTTTGGCAGAGACCATTTTAAAATATTTTCAGCTCAGTGAGGTGACCAAGCAGTCGGTTTTCGTTGATTAGGCGTGTTTAAATAGAACTTTCTGACTGTCAACAAATGAAATTAACTGCTTTTGCGTATTACGAATCGGCAAACAGATTTCGGAACACAGTTCGAAAATTTGTAATTCAAAAGTGAATTGCATTGTAAAACACAATTCAAAATCTGAGACTATTTTTATCTGACTGTGTCTTAAATATAAAAAGTGTTTATGTTGATATCTTTAGTTAAATATTGTGTGTTGTTCTGTATATTTACTCAATTTTGGTCCTACAAAATTATCATATAAACAAAAATATAGCAAGTGTCAATGGATATTTGGACAAACCTGGTATATTGTTGATATATAGACAACAAGTATTGACATATATTGTCGTCAGCCAATTTTTTTTATTTATTTATATTTTTTTCTTTTTAGTAATTTACATATTTATTAAAAATATTATTGTATGTAATGTTTCAGACTCTAATCAGATGTCATACAATTTATGAGAATAATGCAGGATCTTTCCATCCGAATTTCCCTTCTTCCCTATATTAGGTAATTTAGCCTTGCTCTGTAAACGACTGTCTAAATTTGCACAAAAGTCGATTTAAAAAATACTATAAAATTGTGGATTTCTTCGGTGGTGAATATGGTTTGTTATTTACCAGAAAAATATCATTATTGACCGAAGGAAAGCCTTTTATTTATCTATTATTTAGATGAATTCTAATTTTTAATTCTGTTCAAAAATATATCGCTTTTTACATGTACCTGGACGATTAAAGAATAATGCTCTTTTAAAAGCACATTGAATCAATTACGTATACCTATATATTTCTTTTACTACAAACTAATATTAAACAATCAATGAACATAGTTTAAAAATCCCATTCTTGTTTTTTAATGTTAAGGAAAACGTGTTCATTAAACGTACAAAAGCTTCAGGTCTGTAGCTTGCCAGACATTCCCAGCTGTTGATATCCCATATTCTCATCAGATTTGTTTCTTCCATGTCACAATATGACATCATGTACGGTCCATAGGGGTTGCCATAAACTTCCACAATGTCTGTGTGCCCACTTAACTTCATGTGAACAGTTCCTGAAAAAATGGCAAATAAAACAATGTTATACAATGTTATACAAACTTTAACTGCATGAATAAAGAAACAACATATTTGATAAAAAATATTTTGTCAACTTTATAAGCAATTTAGTTTTTGATTGCGATCTCATTTAATGATCGGTAATGAGTAACTATATATAAATTCAAAAGAAAGATCTTTTGCCTAAACTAAATGCCACTATCTGATTCATGCCAATGGTTAACTATAAAACTATTATATCAAACATTTTTTCCACTGTTTTTTTTCCTGCTAGACACAACCGTGACATTCAGATTGCAATTTAGAAAAGTAACAAATATCTGATAATTAAAAATCAGAGCAAGAAACACAAACAGAAAAACGGAGAATAGAAAGTGAAACTGTATACAGAAGAATTGGAAAAGAAATTGCAGAATTTTGATTCGTTAACAACTCCCATAAATACCTCTATATACAGAATTATGTATAATTTTTATTCGCTTATTTTAACAGAATTTTTGGCGTTTTTGGCACAATCGTTTAAATTAAAATTTGAATACCACCAAAATGCAATTTTATATAAAAATACTATCAGCATAAATTCATGATTATACCAGATTGTTCAAGCTTCATTTTGAATATAGTTTATTATAAAATGAATTCAGAGCTTTTGTAGTGTTATAACTTGCCTTGTGCTACATCCCACAATCTGATTACACCGTCTTGGTACGCTACTGCTAAGAGCTCATCTTTGACAAAAACCATAGTATTCATCTCAAAACCATACACATCTTTACCTTGTTCTATGTATTGTTTTAAGTCATTGTCGTCAAAAAGTACTGTGATTTCATCTGTTAAATAAAGCAAAAGTACAAACAGCTGAAATTTTCTTTCAATTTTACAGCTTGGACTTTGTCCGATATTAAGCTGATATAAAGCATTGGAAGAAATATCACAAAAAGAAACTATTCACTTTACAAATCAGCGAACACAACAAATACTTGTTGATAGAAATTATTGCAAATACCATCTTCTTTTTTCCAAACAAATGGCGTAGTAAGTGTTTCTTTTGCTGCTGCCAACTGCAATGATCCAATGACGTAATTTCCGCGAGTAGAGACCGCAATATCTAAACCAGTTTCACGTGCTTTTGATCCGAGATCCTTCTTGGTGATTGTTTTTATAATCCTTTTCTTTTCTGCATCACAGACGAGAAATCTCTCATCTTCAGTTATACAAGTTACAATATGGCCATCTCGGGAAGCCTGAAAAATCCAAACACAGTTAACTATGAACCATTTCCAACTTTCCTTAATACTGAATATGTAGATTAATGTAAGTTGACCCTTACAATATATACAATATCATTATTAAATTACATGAGGCTTTTTTGTACGATATTTCACTTTTATCTCCGATGAGATTAAAATATTGCTGACGTTCAGGATGTTTATTAAATATTTTTTAAAGCTCCCGAACCACCGTATTGGATTATCTTTGATTTTAATACAATATGAGAAAAAAATAATACGAAATAGAAAGTATTTACTATACCGCTATCATATCAATAGGACTTGACTTTTCCTTAGTTGAACAAGGAATGATTTTTGTAACTTTTCCTGATTCCACATCATAGCATTTCAAGTTAATTCTTCCCCGAGTTTGCACTACGAGTTCTGAAACAAAGATATCGATATTATTCTGAAAATAAAGCAAACCTACTGTTCCATACACCCGTAATGTTTTAATTGTTTGATTTCTGTTTGTGCGTGTGTGCACATGTTTAATATTGTTTGTTGTTGGTGATGATTAAGGGGGTATTTTTATGTTCACTTTTAGGGTGGAATTTGTGAAATCACTTTATAATAATTGCACCCCGTGATCAAGGAAATTCGAGATTTTATTCAAATTTTTCTCAGCATGATGGATACAAGGCTTCAAAGTCCTCTCCAGATTTATTTCGTATTCTTATATATACCTTGCTTAAGCTTGAATAAAAATCTCAGTTCAAGATAACTAAAATTTACACTACTAAAGATCCTAAATTATGACATTCAAGTATTGATCAGAAAAGCAATTGATCAAAGAAAATTTACCTATTTACTCCGTTTATTGTTAATTAGAAAACAACAAAATAATAATCTGCAATCACATATATACATATAAAAAATAAATTAAAGATCTTTAAATGATATCACTAAATATGACATCTTATAATGATCGACGTTATTCCTTATAAATATTTAATAATGTTTAAAAATGTTTATCCCAATTCAAATGATTTTGTTAAAGAAAGATTACAAAAATTTAATTAAATTTTTAAAAAAAAAATCACGTTCAAAATAATTGAAATGTAAAAAAAAAAAAATACAAATTTGTAAGCCACATATTCTAGTATTATTGCTGTAACTGGTTGACTTCTAGTTTGATATATCGGGACTTCGATTCGGTACCAACCTCTTTGCTACATAGTCCAAATAATTAGTTCATTCTTAGAGAATTATCTTGGTAACATACCGTATGCGGAAATCAATTTGTCCACAGATTGCTCAGATACATTTTTCAAATTGTCGAAATTAAAAATCTAAAACTGACAGCCCTCTTTCAGTAAATGATAGAAAGCTCATAAGTGGCAAAACAGCTATGAGCAAAATAAAAATAAAAAAAAGTGGTTGATCAATGAGTGTTGGCAAAACAGAAAGAATTAATAATTGCCCACTTTACAGTTTATGTATATTATATTCTTATTACCTTTACCACCATTAAAAAGGCGCAAGTCGCTATTCGCTGCAGGAATAAGTCCTTCAAATTCAGTTGCTACTGATACTGTGTCCAGGGAAATCTTTATTATCTTATCATTTGAGTTAACCAAAAGGAGACTGCTGTCATCCAGTAGAGTTATGTCCCCTACTTTGCAGTCCTGAAACACAGTTTGAAAAAAAATAAGGAGGATTAAAGTGTCCCTTATAATTTACAATAAAAACTATGTGATCAAAAAGAAATTATCCCGAACTGTATTTTAAAATCATATGATCATGTTGACATTTGATACATAAATCATTTTCACTCTAGAAGCATAACAAAGAATCACAACCTCATAAGTCATTTCTTGTCCTCGATGTACGCTCTTAACTTATATTTTAAATTTGAAATCACAAAATCTTACCAAAATCAGTAGCATTAAAATGTACGGTTTTTAACAACACTTTACACAATCATTCCTCATGATAAATTTTTGACATCACAGAAAACAGTTTATTAGAGAAAATGGAAGAATGGTTAATTTGAACACATTGTCAGTGGTCATCTGCAAACTTATTTTGTTAACAAAAACATTCTGATTCTATGCACAAGTACTCCGAGATTGATACTTAAAAGATGCTCAAGTTTCTCATTGACAATATGTATGTAATCTTTGGAGATCAGCTCTTCCAAATATCTGTTGGAATTCCCTTGGGTAATAATTGTGCCCAGTTATTAGCACACCTGATTTTGTATTCTTAAGAAACATAATTTATTCATAAACTTCTATATGAAAAGTAGTCTTTAGCTATGGATTCAATTCTTCATTTAAATATTTCGATGACGTTTTATCAATTAACAATATTCATTTTCAAATTGTAAGGCCATTACTTTCACACTAAATAGTCTAAGGATAGAATTTTTTTCGTTTACCCAATTATGACGAGGGGAAGGCACTCGTCGGGTCAACAGGGATACTCAATTCTCCATGGTACCTGATCCCATCTCTATTTTCAGAGGTCCGTGTTTGCTCCGCTCACAATTTGTGTTGATTAATTGGACTTTCGAGCATGATTACTATAAGTTATCTTCACATTTCATTTACCCCCATCCTTCAACCTTTCTAACTGAAAAGCTATGGATTGGTTGTTCGACATCAAGGTCACATGAAGCAGCTATCAAGGATGTAACTTACCATTGTGTGAGCAAAATCACACGAATTGATGGTCAACTTAATGGTTTACCGATGTAAATATAGTTACGGATAGTAATGTCAGTCCAATGGCATGAATGGAAACGCTTAGATCAATAACATACCATTTTGTCATTAAATGAGGATTTCTTTATGATTGATCACGTACACGTACTTCACAAAGACAATATCAAATTATCATTAAAATGACTTTCCTAGAACGCCTAACAACTTCTGGCCACTAATTCATAAATATTCATTCATTTATATACAAAATATTACTGTGTAAAATGTGGTAATGAAATTTTAATTCAGTATACAACTAGACCCTTCTGGCCATGACAGCATACAATCAATCAAACAATAGAGGATTGGGTCGTAGACAGAAAAGTCCTGTTGATGGAGATTGTTCAGTCGTTAAAATAGGAACGAATTGCAGTGGCCAGAAAAATGTACTGTGATTCATAATTACCTTCTAAAACTCATTGCAAAGGGTATAAAAAAAACAGAAAGTGGAATACAAAAAATTACTTACCATAGTTATGGTTTTTACAACCTTGTCTCTTTGAAGGTCATAAACTTCGAAAAGGCTTGGTCCGTCCTTTAAAGTCCGATGTAAGATTGTGTAGCGCGTGTTCTTCATGGGAATTATTTCACTTTAAAAAATCATTTTTTTATCTTAGAAATATAAATCGTACATGTAAACAACTTCTTATCTTTGTTCCACTGTCTTTAAATATTAGCTATAGCAAATTTCATTTCTTTTGACCAATGAATATTTTGATTATATATTTTGATTCCAATAAATCATGGATTTCTTCCATGCAACCTTAATCTAGGAAATATATAGAAAATATTGAGGGAAGAATTTTTTACAATAGAGGATTCAAACGTCAACAATTCGTCAGTACCTGATCCTGTTTACTTGTTCTGGAAGTTTGTTCTGGACGTCCTTTTTCTCTAAATCCCAAACTCTAATTATTTTGTCCTGCGTCCTGGTGACAAATATCTTCATGTCACATGTTTTTACGTCCTCCAGAGAAACCGCATGATGGAAATGCGAAGATACGTCACTTCCCGTTTTGTCTAATATAAGTACGAAGTTTTGGTCGCAGGTAAGTATAGAGTCATTTTTCGAATGCATCGAATTCAGAAGATGAAAATTTTCCAAAGCTGTAAAACATTATAATAGAAGAGATATACTCTTAGATTGATTTTCCTTTTTCCTGTTCATTAAATATATTATATTAACTTGACGAATTGCACTTAATTATGCATTGAATTAATATCTTAGACATGCATTGTTTCATAACACGAACGGCTGTGCTGACAAATTGAATAACGTGCGTTAGAGCATTTTAAAATCTGCGTTATGAAACAAAGCATGCCAAAAATATTAATTAAATGCTTAATATATTTATATTCTCTGATAACATTTTTAATCGATAAAGTTTATCTTTACATGTCTTAAAACTAAAACTAACAGCGAAACTGCTTTGTAAGCAAACTGTATAGAACAGCTTGGAATAGTGTTGACCTGCTCAAGATAGAATATGTGAGGGCAATGCATGTTTAAGCTGGTGCAGGAGAAAATATAGTGCAAGTTTTAATTAAAAAAAAATGTTTAATTTTTTTTGTCATTTATAATTCCACGTTCACAATAGATATATAAGATAATAAAAACTAATTGGTATGATAGCCTGAAAATTAATGAAAAAGGACATAAATGTATTACGTCATTTTAAAGTTGTAATTCGGTTCTCATCCGTGTTATCGAAAATTGAATGCTTAAAGTTTTCTACACAGTTTGTAAGAAAAATACAAATCAAATGTACATGTAAAACATTATGTTTTTGTGCCATACATGTATGTTAAATAATTAAAGGTAATTTTCCTTTGTTTTAATTTGTTTAGATGTCTGTCTCCCATCCCTTAATTACAGCAGATATCTTTTGAACTGCAAGCCAGTGCAAGGTAAGAATTTGGTATTTAGAACCTGTTTTGTTTGATATAAGACCTTTGTAAATTTCAGATGATACCTCGACCTTCGATATCAAATATTTTAAAGAATGCACGCTGTATCATGTTAATTGTGATGAGAGGTAATATTCAGCATGTGTTTTATTTATGTTTATCACAATTTCTTTCTAAGCTTGTGAAGTTTGAAGTCTCTGTGATCTTGAACTTTACTTTTGAGGTACTAACAAAAATTCAATTTTGTTCTGTATCATTCAAACCATAACGTTTAAAAAAAATTATGTAAAGCGGGTAATTATATTTTAAAAATTTCAAAGGTTTCACATTTTTAGACATTTGGCCTTTAATTTGGCCTTTAAACTACGTTTAGGAGAATAACCCACATCTTTTAATCCAGATAAAAGGCATACTTTTATATTTAGCATGGCTATTTTTTATCAAGAACTTCACTTTGTGTCTGGACAATAATTTGGGAAAGGCATACGTCAAAATATATCAACAGCAACTCATTTTGATTTGATATACACCTGTATATGGGGTGTATATCTCTCAGTTGATTAGATACGCAAGAGTATGCTCTACATATGAACAATTTCTCAAACGAGGTAAGTTATTGACAAACAAGTTGACGAAACGAGAATATCAACAGTCTCGTTTAAAATCATCATTTCGTAAGTTCTCTGGTCGATACAATGACCTCGTCAGCAAATGCAAACTACCATTAAATCATATGCTGACTGCCGTTTTTCATACTAATTGTTAGGCCATTATTTACATATGTACATGTATCTTACAACACTAGTTTTCCTTTAGAAGGAATGTCTATTTACACATTTTGCCAAAAAGTTCATTTAAAATGAATTATTGTGGCCCAGCGTTAACCCTGGCTTTAGAATGTCATGTCAAAAAAGTTAATCTACAATGATCACTGTTTAATTACACCTTTTGTTGCTTCTGACCTTGTAGCAAAAACAACTAAACCTATTACAAATGTAGACTTTATTTGAATAAACTAGCTAAGTGACAATTAATGTAAGAATTTGAAACTGCAAGTTTGATAAAGAGGAGGGGTAATGTGCTATATAAGAAAACCGTCTAGGTTGACTAATGGTCCCCCTTGATATAAATACGCCTTACCTTTACTTGTACGCAATAGTTGAAGTGTGGAAATTTCGAAAATTGCCAATTCATTTATTCCTCTTGCGGTCACAATCTGAGTCTCGTCAGATGATATGGCCATTGTGATTATATCTTTATCTTCCCCCATGTTAACAACGGGGGAGAACAAATCATCTTTAATGTTGTAAACGCATAAGTTTTCCATTAGATTGCTTGTAAAAGCCACGTAATTTTCTGATCCTAAACACAAAACAGAATAAAAATCAGCAGCGTTTCAAATTGTGATACTCAAATGATATAAAAAAAAAACCTATGGGTCTGTAATTACTATTTATAGATCCCCGTATATAGGGATGATTTCATTCTCTGGATAAAATCGGCAGTGCTTTTATAGAAGAGTCATATAAACATTTAACACGAGAGAAACAAGAGTTCAGTTCGGTTCAAATAATTACTTGTGCAAATCAGATTCTGAAATTTAATTTAAAGCATATAAGCATTCAATCTTTCATTTAAAGAAAACTGAACTCATTTTAAAGTTAGACCAGCTATATTTCATCTTAACTCGTGAAAATTTCAAATTCTTGCTACCTCTGAGGAGTTCCATCCCATAACTTTTTTCAAACTTAGATGGTGTTGTTTTGCGTCTTATTTCCTCCCCGGTCAAAGCGTCCCATAGGATGAGCTCGTCTGTGTCTATGGCAGCAATGGTACTATTAGTTTTACCAGCAAACGTCACTCCGACATTTTGTTTTAGTTTAAGAGTGTACTTCAATTCCCATTGTGAGCTGCAGCAAATAATTGCGTTTTTAAATATCTGAACAATGATTTGACCATCTGCTGCAAAAGCTGCGTTGTACATATCCAGCTGCATTGTTGAACCTGACTTTATTTCTTTGCCTGTATGGACATCCCATGTTTTAATGATATTGTCAGAGGAGCTGCCTGGAAAGATTAATATATTTTATGCACACTTCAAAAGTCGGCGATAGAGAAATTGGTGTACAAAGATTGACAACGTTTAGCACGTATTGTTTTTATCTCAATAAACGCTTTCTAGTAGCATTTGTCCGCAGTTGTTTATAAAGTAGTACATTTTTATGTAGGCTTCAGTCTAAATTGTCTTGCTGAACAAAACTGATATTTCAAAAATAAGTAATGATTTTTAAACATTTATAGGGATGTAAGTACGGGTTAGCCATGTGATCGAATGAAGAATCACTTATGAGGTCACTGTGAATTTACGTCGTTCGTTTATGACTAAACAATGAATTTATGGTCATGTGACAAACCTGTTTATATAAAGACTTAGATAAGCCTTGTTCAAATATTGTTAAACAAACTTATCTTTTAAAAAGATTGGTGAGCTAGCGCTGTAGCATAATAAAATACAGAAGAAGATATCTGAACCATTTGTTAAATTTGCTGAATCGATTAATTATTAATAGGAAGGCAGATTGGTGCACTGGGGGTTGAGTTGGGGGTGGGGGGTGTCGCAATTTAGAATGGTGAATCTAAGAGTGTGCTTCACGTCGGCAATGGCATAACTCCTAACTGTGCTTTAAGCATTCTGTATTTTACTGTAATTTCAATTTCGATGTGAAAAATAAAAGGTCAGTAGAACCAATGGACACCTTCGGGCCTTTCCGGCAAGCTCGGAAAAACATATCCGAGGTTGCCGCGGTTTTCCGAGCATGACGGAAAGATCCATGAAGGTAGATTAGAAAAGCTATGTATTCATTACAACTTTAGAAATAATAGTCTTGGTTTTATAAGACCCGAGTTACTGTTACTTTTTGTTCATTTACGTGCAGGTTAGACAACAAAACACGAAACTTCAGATCATATGTATTTTCAGATGATAAACACTAAATTGACATGTCTTTCCGACATACTCTGAAAAAGATTGTTGTTGTTGTTGTTGTTGTTTTGTCCGAGCTTGCCGGAATTATCCACTAAGGTGGTAAAACTACATGTAAGGAAAGCTAAATGTCTAGAATCTTGGCATTATATGGCCAAATTTTTTATTGTACTTTTATGTCTAGGTTAGACAATAAATTAACGAAAATTCAGAATCCGGATCTAGACTGGTATTGACTGTCTCTAACCTACGAAATGTATTTCGCGCATTTCAGACAGGAAAGGCCAGTGTAAATTCGGATTATTTCTATTTTTGTATGACAAAACGAAATTGTTATCGTACAGTCTATCTCTATCTACAGTAGTTTTCCCAGAATCCCCGACCGTGAAGTCGAGCATGCGTATTTCAGAAATATAGACTAACGTAGTTGCTAGCGCTCGAGAGCGCTAGCAATAAGGGGAAAATAATTCAAACGTAAATATACGCATATAATGTCTTTTTTTTCTGTTTTCAACCAACGGTATTTTTTAAAATAATTTTGTCTATATATATATATATATATGGTGAGAGTGAATGAAAATTATGCAAGTTACTCTTCCAATGGTACAAAATCAAAATTTTAAGAACCTCTTATTTGCTTATTGGAATTTTTTTTTAATATTTTCAGATGAACTAAAAAATTAATTGTCCAATTGGCTTTAGAAACTTTTTAGGTTAAAGCTGTAAAAAAAAAATTCAAATATGAGATTTCTCATTGTCTGTTATTGGATACGATTTTTATCAAACGTTATGCGGTTTCTCTCCCCGTGGGTAAAATACACTTTATTTCTGTGATAATAATCCTTATATTTTATGAACGTTGAATTATTTTAGTTCCTTCTTACCACATTTACCACCGTTCACAGTAGCTTAGTCGGTAGAGCGCTCGCTCCATGATCGGGAGGTCGTGAGTTCGAATCTCGGCCGCGACTGACCTAAGTCGATAAAAAAATGGGTAGCAACTGTTCCTTCGCCATGCGCTCGGCACTTTGAAGTGAAAGTTGCGGGTCCTTCGGATGAGACCTTAAAAACCGAGGCCCCGTGTCACGGCAGGCGTTGGCACGATAAAGATCCCTCACTGCTCAATGGGCCTCAGTGCCGAGTTAAGGTCAAAATTTGAAGCCCTTCACCGATATATGGTGGCGTCTCTGTATGAGTGAAAAATTCTCGAATGGGACGTTAAACAACATACAATCAATCAATCAATACCACATTTACCTTTCTAACACATTTCCGAATCTTGGAAACTTTCAGGCTACAATCTCAAATTATGTGCAAAAGTCCAGAAAAACAAATTGTCTAAGAATCTGTGACAGAGAGTCAGACAGGTGGATAAGTGGGCGGTATGTCATTAGATAATTACACATTCGACCAAAGTTGGTATACTTTATTTTTTTTTTTAAAAAAATAGTAGTACATGTACGTAGAATCTCAGTAAACAACATCTAATTTTTAAACAACCTACTCTTCAAAATCTCATTTTTTTTTTAAATTTGATAATTGCTTAAACTTAGAATAAATCATTACCACTTAGTGCAACGAGTTGTCCAGACGGGTACAAATGTAGATCCAAACTGGTCACTGTTGTTGTATGCCCCGTAAGTGTCCTGATCAACTGACCCCCAGGCTTTTTGAGGAGAGAATGCGAGCACACAATGTAAGGGTACATGCTCTGTTGACATTGAGCTAGTAGGTCTTTATGGCACTGTTTAAAAAAAAGTAATAGCTCTGATTTAAATGATGCGCATGCTTCAAATCTCCCTAAAAATATCATGTTGGATTTACTCGTTTTAATAGAATAGCTAGTCAAAAAGAAAATTTGTACTTCAAGAAATTGTAAAACAAATTGGAAAGTGGATCAAACAAACCAACGGCTACATTAGAAGTATAACCTTTCCAAAATGATTGCTTCCAGCTCGTCCATAATGATAATATAGTGTAAGCCTCATCTTATCATAACCACGTTATTTTGGTCAGATTGGATACATACATATATAACATACAAACTTTTATTCAACCCAAACCCCTCTGAGAAGCAATTACAAATAATTACACAAATTGATCTTTTTTTCAACTCTCATGAAACGGAATTAAGAAACTTGAGTTCTACTGCGTTAATGAGTGAGAAGGTTAAAAGACCTTATACTGATAGCCAAGCTTCTAGCAACAGTGCGATGAATATTGAATATTAAAGTTTCAAAAATACATATAGGTGCAAAATACTTGAAAGGTCAAAGCATTGTAAACATAGATAAGAATATCAAAGAATTTTTAATCAATGCAAAGAAAACAGCTACTGTAATTAAATACGAAATCTATTTTGAATCAAACATGTTTTCAGTTGATGATCATTCAAAAAGAGCAATTCATTTAGATTATAGATTATACTAGGTTCCTTATTAGTCCCCTACCGGTGAAACCGGAGGGGACTATAGGTTTCCTCTGAGTCTGTCCGTCCGTCTGTCCGTCCGTCTGTCTGTCTGTCTGTCTGTCCGTCTGTCTGTCTGTCTGTCCCTCTGTCTGTCTGTCAGTCTGTCCCACTTCGTTTTCCGCACTTTTCTCCTAAACGCTTGCAGATATTGAGCTGATTTTTGGTATGTGAGTGTATCTTGATGAGTTACAGATCAAGTTTGCATTTCGTTCCGCTTCATTGATTTTTGACGGAATTACGGCCTTTTCAATTTTTAGGGGTTTTCCGCAATTTTCTTCTAAACGCTTTCAGATATTGAGCTGATTTTTGGTATGTGGCTTTACCTTGATCAGTTATAGATCAAGTTTTCATTTCGTCCTGCTTCATTAATTTTTGACGGAATTATGGCATTTTCAATTCTTAACAGGAACCAGATTACACTTGGCGGTAGGGGACTAGTATTGCTAATGCAATACTCTCAGAATGCTTGTTCATTCGACCTTTAAACCGGGGAAATGTAATAATTTTATGATGTGTGCTTTTTTTTCTGAGTTGATATGCCACAAACCTCTGAGTTTTCCAGTCGGTCCAACAAATGTGATGGAAGCTGTCGCGGGTCAAGTGACAGTGCAGCAGACGACAAATTGATTGCCTGCGATAGCATTTCGAGGTCTGTCTCAGCTGGAAACAGGGAACGAGCCAGTGCAAAATCGTCTAGCAGGTCTCTGTATATACACATATAACAATTAATGTAAATACGTGTAAAAAATAAATACTAGAATAAACATTTCAATAACAACCCATTAATTACTCAGAACTTAATGTTTCAAGAAATAAATGTGTGAACTCTAACCTCGATTTTACCTTGAAATTTGAATTAAGCGATTGATATCAAGCCAAAGTGAATATAAATGTTTCATAAAAATTACATGTAACAAAAAATGTGATGCTTCTATAAAACAATTAAACGTTTTTTTCAAATATTTTTGTCATTGTACAAAAATGTTGGAAGCAATGATTAAGATTGAACATTGTTTGGAAAATATTATAAATCTAGAGCAATAGGACTTGATCAAGATATACAAATAAGTTTTATAACGCTTTGCAGTCAGTTAGGTACAAAAAGGCATGTATTATTACAATTTTGAAATATAATTTTTGCACTATTAAACGTTTTATCTTTTTCTGAGTTTTAGTTTATTTTTTGTTTTGATTGAATGTATTTTTTTTCTTTTTACATTTTAGTTTATTTGAAAATAAAAGCTTTGTTCGCTTCTTTATTTATTGTATGCCATTTTTACTTTTGTTTTGTCATTTTTGTCCCTATTTCTTTCTGATATCAGTTTTGTGTTTCTCTTTCTGCTTTTTCCAGAATGTATATTATATTGGATCCCCCTTAATCTGTTGTTGAATATGATTTTTATCCAGTGAGTTATTTGTTTTTATCCCCGAGCCTTGGCGAGAGGATAAAAAACACACAACGAGTTGGATAAAAATCATCTCCAACCACAAATCATGGGAAATTCTTTTTATCACATGTTTTTACATCAGTATCAATGTTTTATACTGTTTTATATATGAATCCACATTATTTTACTTCATCACTTTCACGCAAATCTCATTATGACGTCACAACAGTGGGATATGAAAAAATATCTGATGAGTGATATCCACAGAGTAAAGGGGAACATTTGATAATTATATTTATTTGTTTATATAGGATTTGCCTTTTGAATACCGTGTCCAGTTTCGTTAAATTTCATCTTACTCAGTTTGGAGGCACAGCAGTTTGTGGATTAGGAAGTCGAAGTTTAGAAGACAATGTTTCTTCAGATCTTTCAGGTTCTTTGATTTTGCTAGATGATAAGGAAGGTTTTTCATTTTCCTCTCGTTGATTTGATTTCCAAGTTGTACTGGTTGACTGGCAACATAGCGAATTTCCTCTGCTTTTCCATTTTTATCCTGAAAAGGTTTGGGAGTGTCTGAAAAGAAGAAAATGTAATTTTCCAAAAACCTTTTTTTTATCAAACCATATTAAATTATAATGCACACATGTATCATATGAAAAAATAAACTAAAACAATGTAACAGTTGAAGGCTTTGATTCGAAGAATGATATTTGATTTCGTTCTTTATTAAAGAAATATTATCATATTCATAACTGATATAAAATACGCTCTTTTTCTTTGTTTTTTTCTTTTTATTTTGAAATATTTAGAAAGTTGAGATATTTAAAAGATTTGAGAAAAGAAGCAATAAAAAATAATTTTGAAAAAATTATAATGTTCTTTCTTGAAATAATCTCTTCTTTTTTGTTTGTTTTCTTTTTTATTTTGAAATATTTAGAAGGTTCATTTAAAAATTTAGGAAAAAGAAGAAGAAAAAATGTATTTGTGTAAGAGAGAGAGAGAAACAAATTCAAGTAGAATCAGCTGAAAAAAACTTTTTTTTGAAATATTTTTTTTATAATTATGTCATGTAAGGTTAAATAAATTAATGTCGCAGGAACCCCTTGCGCTTAATTATTATTAAAATATACATGTACCTTTTTGCTCGATGTGAAAATATCCTCTCCACGTAAGATAAAAGAATTTAATGAACAAGGAGAATAAAATAAGAATTTTACATACAAATTAGTTTTTTTTTGTTTTCACATTGTCTGCACAGTAATTTTTTTTCCATTACATAACAAATATTTTTTTTCATCAAAGATAATCAAACTTGGGTATTCCTATCATTACTTACTTCCAGCCCATCTCCCTAAGAAATAATCCGCTAGACCAGTGTGGAGCTGAAGCCTTGTTGATTCATCTTTGGTGTATCGATTTTCTGCTGCCTCCCAGAACTGACGATGATACCAACTTAAAATCTGGATTCCTGAATCTCCTCGACTCACTAGAAATTCATAAGCGAATTCAAATAATTTTATGTTTAGTTACCAGATCTAATTAGAGACAAGTATATAAATGGAAAGGGTAAACCTGAACAAACAAACAAAATATATATTATAAAGAAATATCCTAAAGTACTGTAAATTATTTGCATCAAGATTACACATACCAAGATACCAGCGCAGATCATAGCGCAAGCGTACTATCAAGAGTGGCGGAAGCCTTCTGATTGGTGGAGTCCAAAATTGATAAACGTCATTTAACACGTCATCATCACAGGACAAGATGTCTTCCAGTTCAAATTCTGACAAACCGTGCTTAGCTAAGATAAGAAGCGAAAGAAAATAAGTATTTAATTTCTTTAACAACACATAGCAGTTTTCTTATAACAAGATTCTGTGCTGATGAGGTGAATTATAAAGGAGAATATAATTTAAAGTAATTAGCATACCTGCCGTGATATATCCAAGTGTCCTTGAAACAAATATACGACCATATTTGGTTTCCATTTTTTGAAATAACTGATCTATGCATCCACGAATAGTGTCTTGCAGACAACATTCTTTAATTGAGCGGAATGACGTCCATTCCATTGCCTCACGGAATGACAGTTTGATAAACAGAGGAAGTGGACATTTCTCGAACATTTCTAAAACATACGTGCGTTGTGCGTCCGTTAATGTTCGGTTACTTGTCTGACAAAAATGGTCCAGGATATCTTCTCTGTCTGATGACGTCAGCAAAGGGACTTGAATAAAATTTTCCTCTGCAGAAAGAGTCTAAAACAAAATGATGCCAAAATCATTTAACTACTGTCAATTCTGTTTAGACATATTTAGTCCTCTACTGAATGTTAGTCTGTAGTGGAGATTATAATATGGACAAATCAAAGCAAAATTAGTAAAGTGATGTCATATATGTGCCCATTCCACACCTTAGCCAAAGACATCACTGCTTCAACAGGACTGACCATGTTGCTCTAATGAATGAATTTGGCCTGAAAAGAATCTAAGCAAATGTACTTTCAATATTTCCTGTCTTGATTCTTCAGAGGGTCTCGCATGAATAACACAATTGTCCAAACGACATCATCGTGTTCGTCTCTCCTTGAAAAATTTTTTTCTGTGACGCCATATTGGATAAAGTATCGTTAAAATTGCACTCTTTATTTCAACCAAAATAAATGAGCACAGGGTATTTTATTTAAGCATCTATAATTCAAGGGTTGTAAGGTCAGAGGTCAAAATTCCCCCGGAAGAAAAAATATTCACAGACAGAATGAATAATCCACCATTGATGGAAATCTCTATTATTCTACCCATACAGCTAAAATCTTGGTATCTTTCTATCATTAAAATAGAGATTTTGAAAGCCTTGCACAGCTTACAACCTGAAATAGCATTTTCACACTCTATTGTTTTACCTTAATGTCTGGGAAGACTCCAAACTCTGGTTGATCAAGGGTGGAGATAATAACTTTTGTATCTTTTATCAGATTCTTCGGAATCCACGAACTGACAACTCGTCCATTATGAGCTGATTCAAGCTGGTCAATGGAGTCGATGAAGAGGACAACCTTTTTCTTTTTTAAAATGAAGAATCGCAAAGAAGTCTGGAACTTCTTGACTAGAACTTGTAAATCCTTCAAGAAAAATAAAAACTTCTCATACAAAATTATTAAAGGTGAGCATAAAATATATAACATGTGATCTGAAAATATATATGAATTAACTTAGAAAATATCCAAAGGAGATGTCTTGAAAGATGTTAAATTGAGACAGGATTGTATGCAATAGTAACATTTCTTAAATGTGATTGAAAACTATCGGTGAAATAGTGAATCAATTGACTGCATTCTGTAAGGTCTATAGGCTATTAATATTTTTGTGACAAAAAAGATTATTTTTAAAAAATTCTGAAGAAATTTTTTCTGCCCACAGAATTGAAAACTTTATGCAATTTGCCTACTTTAATTACCTAAATATACATGAACAAATCTATGCACATACTAGATTTCAAGTCAGCACAGCACCTACGTTATCAAAACTTTTAACTGACACAACGTATTTATGCTACAAATGAGAATGATTTGATTTTATTATGATGTGTATGGTACCTGAGATTTAACTTCCGGTAATTTGAAATATTGGTGGATCTGAGATATCATGGACTGAAGAAGAGTTAAGAGATTGGAGCTCTCCTGTGTCGATCCTAGAAATCTGTATTAAAATAACATCATGGCTAACTAAATAGCAACACAATACATCTTTGGCCGACTGAAATCTTATTCCATTGGAAAACTTTAATAATATCCATTAGTAGCTTGATTATTACATTGTATTACAAAAAAATTGGAGATAGTCAGGGGTCTATGCGTCTCTGAATGTCATTCGAAAAAAAATGCAAGAATTTAAAAAAAAAAAATTCTTTTAATTTTGAGAAAGATTTGTGACCCTGAGTAAGAAAAGATAAATTGATTTTTTGTTGACAATTTATAGTAAATAGCTCAAGTAAACAGACATGAATATATTACTGTTGGGTAGACGGAGGTACAAGTCGGGATTTTAAATTTCATATTATTTCTTTTTCTCTCATTTACAGCAGAAAGGAATCTGCCACAAATTCATCAAGCTACATTTATATAGAGCTTATTCAATCTAACCTCACGAGTACCATGCCATTGCCACGTATCCATTGGAATGCCTGTTTTGCTGCCAGTGCCATTACGGAGGTCTTCCCACATCCAGATTCGCCATGAACAACAAGAACTTCCTTACTGTCTCCAAGCACGTAGTCTTTGATTTTCTTAGAAAACATAAAAGAAAAAAATGTTCAAAGTTCACTTGAACTTTTGTTTCAACGTCAGGAAAGCTCTTGTTTTACACTGTAAACACAGCAGTTATTTCTGTAATTATTATTTACAGCTATTTTTCCTTGACAAAGTTATATCATTTTTGCTCCTTTGTCTGATAAGGTTTTCGTTTTTTGTTTTGTTTTTTTTTTTGTTTTTTGTTTTTTTTTGTTTTTTTGTTTTTTTGTTTTTTTTTTTGTTTTTTTGGGTTTTTTTTTTTTTTTGGTTCTTTTATTTTTTCTCAATTTTCACTTATTTCACAACTGTTAAAGGATAAGGTTTTATATTTCATTCTAAAGCAGCCAAACTAAGGTTGTATATAATATATATTTATTTCGCATAGAAAAAGTTATGGCAAGCAGAAATATCTTTATCATTATCTAAAGTATTATAACTTGCATTCTAAAGCATTTAAACAGAAATCTTAAAGTTAACAATTGAAACTACTTTGCTCTACCATTTACCTTAACAATTTCATCACGACCCCTAATTCCCGAGGATTTTTCTTCAACGAGTGCAGCATGTCTCAAAAATTCTTCACGTTCAGGTTTCAACGACAACTTTTTGTTGCTTTCCTTTTCTTTAATTGCTTCGTCTATTGAGACTATCATCTGTGTCTGGAAGTCCTCAGTAATCTGTTCTAGATATTCAGCATGTTCTTTGTTGTTCGGGTCAATCCCTAAAAGACATAGTGAAGTTTTCTTCAAAAGCTCCCAAACAATTGCCGTATTTTTTATGTCTCAAATTGAAAATAAGAAGAACAATTAAAACAGTAGTGGGAAAGTTTTCTCGTAAAGTAAAAGAATGTGTTTGGAACACATAGCATTACATGTACTAAGTAACATTATGAGCAGCTTAAAATATAAAGATGGTAATTCTTGAATGATGTGCAGATATACATGTATGTATAAAGTGAATGCACAGATTTAATTCATGAAACTATCGTTCTCTGGATGTCCTTTCCTATTTTGTTTTAGACTAGTGAACTACAAGTCTGCAGGTATATTAAATTACGTGTCTAAAATATAACGTTCTATGAAACATGCCGTTGAAACTTCATGTAACACATCAGAATTTCACAAAATATTGCAATTTTTGGCATATCAATATTCATGAAAATGTTGCTAATTAATTTTGGACAGAAAGACGACAAAACCCGCATAGAATAAACTTTTCTCACAAAGTTACATTTCATGTAATTTGTAAAGTTCGTACAAGAGACTCTCTTTGCAAATTATCAATGGAAAAATCTGCAATTGTACTGAATATCCATAGAAATAGTACGTGTACGTTTTATTTCCTTGTATTTTATGCAGTTGTACTCAGTAATACCTCTGGGTTGATTTTTTTCTCTTATATACCTGGATGTCCTATGTATCCTACATTTATCATTCCTTACTTTTTATTGCATTTAAAAAGACGTTTTTTTTTCTTCAGATTTTATGGGGTCAAAAAATTGCTGACTCCGTTCTTCTTAATGGCTTTTAAGGACAGATGATACAAACAAAAAAATGGATGCCTGGATTGGTATATATTTTTGGGCTTATTTTTTTATGTAAATGATGCAAATAATAAATTTCTAAAATATAAAGAGAAAGTGTAAACCTTCTATGATGTTAAAATGTTAACTTTCTTCAACCATCCTTATTAATCTATACAAATTTTTGTCACTTCAAATCCCATTATTAATTGTGAAACTGTGCATGAAAAATTAAAAACTATGTGGTTAAACTTCTTCATTTTACTTAAATTAGCAGGACTCACGTTGTTAATTTCAAATTTTTTGATAAAAGTTTGTTTGGACATCTGTCCTTAATATGATTTACCATACACATACATTATTTTTTTTTAAATTTTGTTCAGTAAATTTATATAAACTGCAAAAAGAGGGTTACGGGAAAATTAAAATTCTTGAAACTCTTCGTACATGTAGATATTTATCATATCATACTTATTTCTTCTGAATATTAGTACAATCTCAATAATTAGAATAATAAGTTCATTTTAATTTTCCCTTTAAACGATCACTTTATTTTTCGTGGAAAGATTTTTAATCTCAGGCTAGTTCTCCAACTAGTACTATTTAATATAGTATAACTGGGAGTAATATTATAAAATTCCTGTAGGAAACATACCTTTTTCTGTCCAGTTAAGTTCGTACGTATAAATATTATCTGGGTTAATCTTTTCCTCCATTCGTTTTTGAAGAGCTTTGTTCCTTTCTCTGGCTGTTTTCCACACTTTTTCATCTCCCAAGCATTCTGCGAGTCAAATTTTAAATCACCTTTGTGATGTTTAACAATTGACAATTAAAATCGAAATTTGGAGACAACAAAACTTTGATGAAGCAATATATTTCACTATAACATAAAGATTTTGACTTAAACTCAAGAGGTTTAATGATTGTAAAATATAATTATTTATAAATCAATCTCGAAATTTCGAAAGTATATTCGTTTTTGACTGCAGGACTTTTACATCTTTTAAGTATAACATCAAGATTCTGACTTAAGCTCGACAGGTTTTAAGATCTTAAAATATCAAAGGATAGTGATAGAAGAAAATCACTATGGAAAACTGACAGTAAGACATAGTATACAATAGTGTTGAGAGAATAAAGATATCTGCTACTAAACCATTATGAAATAGGTGAAGATAACGAGCAGTAATCCATCTAAAAAACCAAACAGTACAAATCTACGAACAGAGCATTAAACATAGACCCCGGGATATTCAAGTTGTGGGATCAGGTGCCTAAAAGGAGTAATAATCTGTCGAACGGTTATTACATCTGTCATGAGCCCTATGTATCGATCAGGTAGACGGAGTAACCCGTAATAAAAATTATAAGAACAAAGGCCTGACAATTAGTATCAAATATGTCAGTCAAAATACGACCTAATGGTAGCTTGTATTTGCTATCATGGTCATTAAAACGACCATAGAATTTGCAAAATGCTATCTCTAAACGAGGCTGTTGAAATTCCTGTAACCTTAACATATTTCTCAGTAGCCTGTCTCGGTTTAAAAACTGATCATACCTTGAGCATGCTCTTGAGTATCGAATTATTTGGGAGACATAAACACCATATGCAGGTAAAGGTGGAATATTACTTCATAAATAAGGAAAGTTGACGATGAAGTAACCTCAATTGTAATACGGTTGTTAGTTTGCCCTTGTCGTTTATAGTCGGTAAAATATCCAAAAATGAAACAGATGAGGCAGACTCCGTGGTGTCTTCTTTTTTTGAGTTCATTGGGATATATCGAGTCAACATATAAATTTAAGTACTATTGCTAATTACTAAAATGTAGTCGATATATTTGAATGTCAGTTTAGGTGCTTTCTCCTTCCCATGTAGAATTTTGGAATAAATTCTGCTTCATATCAATATAAAACAGATCAGCTTATAAAGAAACATAGTTAGTGGTCATACGAATTCCAATAGATTGTTTGAAGAACTGGCCCCAAGACCATAAACTGAGAACAGACTTAAGTCAAAATTTTGATTTTCAATATCTTTAGTTTCATTTAACATATTAGCTTAAACATTTGCAATTGTGCAAAACGCTTCAATTCAAACATATAATGAAAATTTTATTTTATAATCAAAATTATTTCAAAAGTTATATCCATTTGAAATTTTGACTTAAGTCTGTTATCAGTTTATGGTCTTGGGGCCTGGCCCCAGGATCATCAGGCAGATTTAAGTCAACTTTTCAATCGCTTGTAATATGTTAATTAATTGTTAAATTCATTTCTTAATTTGCAGATAACAACACTTTTGTAAAGCAATATTGGAAATGTTTTAAATTTGGTCTGCTTGACTTCTACATTATTTTAGTACAACATAAGGAATTTGACTTAAGCTTCAGATGTTTCGTGATCCCGAGGCAGGTTTCCAAAGACTACATAGATGAGTAACTCCAGCATCCTTTTTAAATCAACCTCAGATCTAGAGTACTTATGTGTATAATCAGTGATATTTTACAAAGTTATTTTGTAAATGACTAATTTCAAGATAATATTATGAAAAATGACCAATTTTTTAATTGAAGAAACAGTTGTCTCTGAGATAAAAAAAAAGAAAAAAAGAGCAGTTTTAATTTATCGTGGTATATGGTTGTATAAAGTGTAGAAAAAAATCATACGTTTTGATGTCACTGACTTTTCCAAAATATTAAGATTTTTAATTTTCTGAAAGTTGTTTGTAATTTTTGAGAGTCCACATTTGATTACACCACTTTTTAAATATGCTGTAAAACAGTCTGAAGTTTCTCCTTTACAGCAGTTAATATTATTGTGAAGGGTAAAGATAGGCGCTTGGTGGAGCAGTTGTTGGACCCAATAACGTATCTTTGTATGAAGTTTAGGAATCTAGTATAGGTAGGGAAGATAGAACTCACTTTCGTTAATTGGAATATTACTGTAGTAAAATTTTTAAGACTGAAAACATGTGCTTTTGAAGAATTATATCCTTAGAAAGTGAACTGTGAGTTCTAAGATGCATTTCCAGATGTAGAATTAAAACTAAGTTCTTCTAAAATACAGTAATCTTAGAAACAAAGACGATAATGATACAAGCCAAGCCTGCTGGAACAATAACATATTGTTCATGTGGTCTTTTTAAATTCTTCTAGCGCTTAATTCCGGTTTAGTGAAAATGGAATGATATATGGTTCGCCTATTGCCTTTCAACTTCCTAATACGATTCTTCAATACATTTGAATTATATTGAACTTAAACACTTAATCTAATCCGACAAAGTGTTCAGGTCTTCCCCTTCACTTCTTGCCCATCGTCTTACATAATCCTTGACAGAATTCATAATTGAAATGAAGTTTCTTGCCAGTTGAAATATCGGGGCTCCATGTATTTAGAGCTTTTTAAAATGATTGTTTTATTTCGTCATTTTCAACTATACTTTACATCACCAGTAATGACATGTTCAGCTAGATTATAGTTGAAAGAAAAGGAAAAGCGAGAACACCTAGGAGAATTTTGTTTTAAATATTTAACATTTAGGCACTTTAAGTGTATTTTTTTTAATTGAAAAGTTTGGAAGCAACAGTTTGGGAATATCTGTAGGAAATTCAGAATGTAGAATTTAACTTGCAATATGGTTGAATGTAAGACGGAAATGTTTTTTATGATAAAGAATGCTAAAAATGTTCACAGCATCTTTTCCTTTATTGACAAACTTAAGTTTAAGGAACCCACGGGTTGAATCAGAAGTCTTATCTTCCAGCACACATGGTGGCTTAAAGAGCCTGTGCTGGGTATCATCAATAATTACAAACACTAGCTTGTATTCTTCAGTTGATAAATCCAAGTATGGACTTGATTTAGCTTCTTCAAATAGTCCATTCAAAAATTTCAAAGGAACCGAGTATTCTGTCAACAGAATTTAGATATCTGATACTCAAACATAATTATATGGATGGTGTCAACAGAATTGAGTTATCTCGTAGTAAAACATATTTGGATATTGTAGACATAATTTAATTATCTTAAAAATAAATGTATATGGATTGTGTTGGGAGGAATTAACGTAGGTAGTAAATTTATTTACAAATAAATAAATATCTCCAAAACTAATCTCACCAATGTATCTAGACAGTGTATAACTGGGTTCCTGATTCTCAATATCCCGGAACTTTTTTCTGAACCAGAAGCATTTCTTGTTGATGGCACGTTCTTTTAAACCAGTCTCAGTTTCCATTTCTGTCACTAAAATTTAAATAAAAATATTTAAAATCGGTAATTTTGTTTTACTTTTTCCGACACATTTTAATGTTCATCGACTGAAAGTGATGTTGTTGAAGAAGTTTTTGTAAATGTGTGGATGGATATAAGTGCTGTGACTTTATTCATAGTAATTGAATGGAATAACATATACTTGTTCAAGTTTGTGATATCATTACTGAATATGAATAGATAAAAAGGGGGGGGGGGAGAAAAAACGAACAGTGATCGATCTCATCAATCCTGTAAACAGTACAAATCGTGAACTGGGCGAAACCACGGTCCCCTGGAAGCAGCAGGTGTCATTTGTATAAAAATTCTTAAGTCCTTAAGCATAAACTAATACTTAAGTTTCAAGTGTTGCTTAGCAGTTTATTATTTAATTAGCGTATTTATTAGCATGATGTCAGGAGGAAAAGCATTTCTTGTCTACTGGCCACACCCGCTTTGAACCCAATTTATCGAGTAATCCGTAGCTAAAGCTTTTGTAAAAACAATGACCCACTAATTATTACAAAAAAAACTATTAGTCAAAAGACGACTCAATAATAGATTGGTTTTGCAAACAAGGTCATTATATCCGATACATAATTATTTCTTAATGCTGATTTCAAAACAAGATTGTTGAAAGGCTTGCAATGCAACCTCAATGTATTTGTCAGTAGCTTGCCTCAGTTTGAAAATTGGTCGTACTCAAACATGCTCTTGCTTACCAAAGTAATTGGAAGACACAAACATTGTATACAGGTAATACAGGAATATAACTGTATGAAAAGGGGAAGTTGAAGATTGAAAAAAGAACAGATTTGGCTGAGTTTGTGGAATCTTTTGTTTCGAGTTCACTTGGATATGTCGAGTCAACATATGATTGAAAATAACAATAGTTAATTGATAGAAGCACGATATTTCTAGAATAGAAAGCCAAATAAATTTTTCTTTCATGTTCAAGTAAAGGAATAAAATCTGCTTCAATATAAATAGAAAAACCGATCGGCTAACAAAAGAGCACAATTAGTTTCCATGGAAATTTAAACGGTTGTTGGGAGACATATTCTCCATTCATAGCATAAATAATGCCGATGAGGAACTCCATTATCCTTTTATGTTAACTTTGGAGTAATTTTGAGCAAAATCAGAAAGATTTTTAACACATAACTTTGTGAATGACCAAACACAACATAAAATGAAAATTTCTGAATTCCATTTTTATTAGAGAAGCAGTTGTCTTTAATGTCAAAAAGTGTGATCTTTAATTTATCGTGAGAATGGTAGTATAAATAGATGATTTCAGTTATTGATTACATGATGTCACCAAATTCAATGTGCTTTTCCCTACATTAACATGCGTATTCAACATGGATGACACTGAGTATTTGAGTATTCGACTATCCCTCGGTCATACCGACTATTGACTTCATATTTCAACTCGGTTTGTTATTAATGATTTGCTATTTAATATTAAAATTCAAGTTAATAAATCTAGTGGGTTTTTTCTTCAGTTGGTCTTTGGTGCCAAAACTTAGACAATCCTTCTGTGTGGATTATTTTTTACAAGAATATTATTATGCCCCCGTATCGAAGATTCGGGGGTATATAGTTTTTGCCCTGTCCGTCCGTCTATCTGTTTGTCCGCAAAAAACTTTAACCTTGCCAATAACTTTTGATTGGCTGGGATTATGGCTTTCATATTTCACACGAGTATTCTCAAGACCTTTTGTTGGTACCACCATCTTTGACCTTTTGACCTTGACCTTGGAGTTTGACCCAGTTTTTCAAAATTTTACCAAACTTTAACCTTGGCCATAACTTTTGAACGGTTGGTTCTAGGGCTTTCATACTTCACATGTGTAATTCTTGTGACAAGACCTTCCTTCGGATACCAACAACTTTGACCTTTTGACCTTGACCTAGGAGTTTGACCTACTTTTGAAAAACTTTAACCATGGCCATAACTTTTGAACGGTTGGTGATAGGTCTTTCATACTTCACATGTGTAATCCTTGTGACAAGACCTTTCTTTGGATACCAACAACTTTTATCTTTTGACCTTGACCTTGGAGTTTGACCTACTATTGGAAAACTTTAACCCTGGTCATAACTTTGAATGATTGGTGCTTCGGCTTTCATATTTCACCTGTGTATTTCTTGGAAGAAGGCCTTTCCTTGGGACCATTAATTTTGACCATTTGACCTTGACCTTCATTTGACATACTTTTGAGAACACTTTAACCTTTTCCATATCTATTCAATGGTTGCTGCTAAGGCTTTCATATTTCACAGGTTTATTTCTCGACACAAGACCTTACTTTGGGTACCAACATATCTGATTTGCATTTGAGGAATTTTAACCTTTGCTATAAGCTGCCATACGGGGGCATCATTGTTTCACAAACACATCTTGTTTTGTATACTGTAATTGGGGAGATACAAGTCAAATACATGTAGATTTGTACAGATATTTCTTTTGATGTCAAATGATTTTCAAACTGGATTTGCTGTTTGGCCTAGGTTGCATGATTGAGATTTATTGCAAGCTTTTCTTTAATTTGTTTCGATAATAGGTACACTTTATGGGTTCAATTATTTAGCTGTAAAAATACCCATGTGATAAATTAATTACAGGAATGAAAGTCTGGCGAAGAAAAGCAATTGATTTGATGAAGTGTATTTATAAATAATTCATTGTACAAAATGAATTTTAAGATACATGAAGTAGGGTAATTTCTACTAAGTAAATAATTGTATGGAGAAAAACGTGGTATGTGACAGTAGCATGATATAAACATTGACTGTACATATACACATGGTACTACACATGGTACAAGCAACCTGAAAAGAACTTGAAGTAAATTAAACTAACATTAAATCCATTTTCCCTAGCCAAACAAAAACCTACAGTAACCTTTAATTTAATGTAGTAAAGTAAAGTTTCGACTATAGTACCAATTTTTCTTACTTTAATACTAATTTAAATCCTTCTTTTTTTATAATAGTAAATCAAAGTTTTTATTGAAGTACATGTAGATCAAAGAATTTTTACTATGAATTTCAAAATTTTATATTTGATTTTCTCCAAACCTTAAATGGTATCTTTTGAAATTTAAGAGAAATATTATACATGTTTTATTTCTGAAAGTTACATCATTATTGAACTGGAATTTTAGTGATATAAAGGACCTAACTTTCGAAAAAAAGTTTTTAAGAAAAGTTCCATAGTAAATCAAAATCTCGAAGTATTTTTCAAAATAAACTATAGTTAACTTTGGTGATTAAATAGATAACTGTAGTAATTTTGTCAGGGTTAAAGTAACTGAGAACAACTGTTACCAGGAGTAATTTTGAGTGTGTAGAATGTACAATGTGATCAGGGGATTAAAATGAATATATAGCATCTCGTACAAATCCTGATTTCATATAACAGTTGAACTTCGTTATCTCAAACACCGATATCTCAAATAAAAGGGACAAGTCGAAGTTATTGGTAGTCCTAACCCCTTTTCGTTATGTTTTTACCATCGTTATCAGAAATCCTCGGATATATCAAAGTTTCTTGAAGACTTTGGTCCGATTGAGTTCGAGATAACGAGGTTTGACTGTATGTGGTATAAAGTTGCATTTAAAAAAAAAAGGTATTATAGGTTTGGGCAATCAAAATTTGCCAGCATAACAATAGTGCAATTATAATTTAATATGCTAAACGTGTGCTAGAAAAATTAGGCTTAAATAATATTATCGCTACAACAAGGACTATTTACCAAAATATGTGTAAATTCAGTTTGAAAGTGTTCAAATAAACATGATACAAACCCGACATTTTATACTTCGTTGCCTCTACCTCGTCTAGACCTAGTGTTGCTCCACGAGAAATGATCGCCATTAGTTTTTCACTCTCGTTCCAGAATTGGGTTTTTCCAGCTGACTGTTTGTCAAAGTCTTTTGACAGAAAATCTGGAATATTTCTGCTGATGGGCTTCAATACGAAAACTTCTGGTACCGCATTTTTGTCTTGCTCGTACCATCTGCAATAAATATGTCATTGAAAAGGTTCTAGATATTTTCAAAACTACAGACATTTGACGTTCATTTCACAGACTGAAGTCATAACATATTTTTCATTTTTTCATCGTTATGTATTTTGATTTTGAAAAGTGAGGAGAGGAGTCTCTTGATCCAATTTTTTGTCCCTGCATTTTACCAGCATCCTTCTCTCTCTCTCTCTCTCTCTCTCTCTCTCTCTCTCTCTCTCTCTCTCTCTCTCTCAAATGAAAGACAAGATTATTACTTTACTATGAGTAAATATTCAATAACGTCTACCTTGAATATTTATTTTATATATTTCTTATTTTTCTTCTTTTTAAATACAATCGGTGATCTAAGATTCGAACCTTGCCATGAGTTTCAGATCTTCTGGTTCCTTTATTTGTGACTGGATCTTCAGAAATTCATCTGCATTGATAACTCTTAATAAGGACCGATACCCATACTTGTGGGCAAATAGGGACTGTAATAAAGTTCATTTCTTGTGTAATTAATTTTCAATATTTCTTCAATTTGGATAAATTGCTTACGATTTTTAGTTTTATTTTCGACTTGTTATATTACAATTTAAGAGGAAAATATGTACAATTGTCTTGAACTTATCCTGTATTTAATTTTTGCCCAATCAGCAAAAAAAAAAAAAAGAATGAATCTTGATCATGACCTTGTACGAAATGAAACTGCTTTACGTCATTTTCGTATCTATTTTATCTTTATTTAATTGAGGAAGAAGATTTCACTTTGAAATGACCCATTGAAAAAAAAATGCATCTTTTTTTGGTCAAAATTATATGAAAGCTGAAAAAATGTGCATTACTTACTATGAAACTTGGTCCTTTTGAAATCTGTTGACATTGATGCAGTTCATGCATACAAAGCTCAGTGGTCATGTGATCATCTGTTGCTTGTTGACGGACGCCCCACCTCATGTCCACCACCTGAAACTCGTATCCCTTTTTGAAGCAGTGTTCCTTTATTTTCGGGTAAGCTTTGGCCATCCAACTATTTCTTTCATATTTCGTATCTGTTGGATAGTGCAAATCAAAGAGAACTTATTTTCAATAATTTTTCTAAATACAGATTTTTTTTAAAACATTTTATCGTGATTTATTTTATAGATGAAATAGTGATAATAAATTTAATATAAAAAAAAAAGCATTGAAACGCATAACGAGTGATTTGTCATCTAAAGATACCTGTAAATGTACTGCTTGTAAATATACGTATGGTTTTGGTTGTGTTAGGAAAATTAGCGTTGAAATTTCCACAAATTATCGCCTCTTGAAATGGAAAGGATTTGAAAATCATCATTTCAGTGTTCGTTGCCATTTCTAGCAGTTTATCTAATTCCCTCTTTTGATGTTCAATAAATTCTTTTCTTTTCTTCTCTTCCTCTGGAGTGAGCTGCTTTTTAGCCGGAGCAGCGGTGCTTGGACCTGGATTTTGTGTGTCATTTTGGGGCGGAGTTGCACCTTGGGACACTAAGTTGTCTGGATTTTGAGCTGTGCTTGGACCCGAAGTATGTCCCTCATTTTGAGAGGTATTCTGGATTTCTAGAGCTCCAGAATTTTGAATGGTGGTATTTTGGGGAGGGTCGGCATTTTCCGTCCTTAAACTTGCTGGTGCACTGATATAAGGAGGAAAAATATTGAAATGTTAATTATGAATATTTTATTTATATTAGGCCATCTTTAAAAAATGTTTGTTTTGAATTACCGCCTGGGGGGATTCAGACCCAGGGAGGGAAGGTGGGAGTGAGGGATTTTTTTAATTTCAAAATCGAAGTTAGATTAAAATTGTTTATATAAAAAGTTAAATAAACAGTGAAGATATTGGTTTGCTGACTTTCTGTAATTATGCTATCAACCAAGACCCCCGTTTTTGCTTAGACCCCACACTAATAGGGAGATTTAGTGGAACATGTGATCAGGCTAGGAATTGATTAATTAGAAAGAAAAATTCCAAGCTTTGGCTAATATTTTTTCAGGAGGAATTTAAATGAAGCGGGAGGCTATTCCATACACACAATAATTTTATTTTGGCCTTAAGCATATTTCTCTCTAGCTTAAACTAATGATCCGCCCCTTTATTCAACCTTTAGTTGTATATTTGATACTTATGTAAACCACGCCAACAGATCAATATTAAAGGCCATTACTCCTTGGTGTAGCATTTACATGTTAGGGTCATTCTAGAGAGATAGCTTTATTTAGCATTAAAGGCGTGAAAGAGGTCCTAAACTCTTTTACCACCCCTGTTGAATCCGCTAAGACGAGAACATTTTTTTAGCTCAGAATAAGTTAATACATGAATGAATATATATATTCCTTGTATTAAATCACGACCTTATATCTATTATAATTACCTGCACTGCGTTCCCATTACATTCTCCTTAGCTTCGATTTCTCGCAGATATTTTCTATACATGGCGAGATCAGCTATTCCATTACGCAGAGGAAACAGGGAAATTCCAGTTTTTGTTAGGCACCATGCTTCCTAGCCATATTTGTTTATATTCGTTATGGATACGGGTCAATTATTTACCCTCTCGAGTGCATCGACGAGCTTCTGCCTCGGACATTTAATTATTGAGCTCGTCTTCTTAATATTGATTTAAAACGTCTGTCGTTTTCTTTTATTCGGATTTGTTTATTTTGGTTATGGCTACGATAAAAAAAAGAACTTAATGATATATGAGCAAAGGCATGTATGTATGATTGTATTTTGAATTGTGTATTTTGAATTTTTTTTTTAGATTTTTTTATTGACACGAAAACGAATTATTTACTATCAATCTTTACATTTAATCATTATTCATTCTATTTATTGAAGCAATTGCAACATGAATGCAGAAATGGGGAAGACAAATATTTATTTATTTATTTATTTATTTATTGGGAGGTGGGCTTGTTTTGACTGAAAGAAAACGCCAATACTTCTCGAATCTCGAATGGCATGTTTAAATACGTATTGTAAACTTGACAATTTTTTTTCTTGGATGTACATCGAGATAAAGACACTGTACTCTAAAAACTATATGATAATTTATTCGTCAGTTCGACGTATGTAAAGGGAAAAAAAACAAATAATGTATGAAATATAATTTAATGCACCAAAGAATAACTTAAAAGGAAATCACTAATTTAAATGCAAAATCTTGCAACTTGAAGTACAGGCACGAACATTTTCCATTTATTGTCAACTTAAAATGTTGAACTTGCAATCCTACCAATAAAGACAATACATTGTAGCTCATCAAATCGAAACAGTTTCAGTTGATTGAATTTTCGAGTAGTAACGAACTGCAATTTCAAACCTGGCCATTGGAAAGGGAAGGGGGGCACGGGTTATAATTTTACTGATATATATAGTTTACTTATAGAATAGAAAACATAGCTACTTAATTTAATTCCTCTCAAACCCCCAACCCACCCATCCCCGCAAAATATTAATGTCTGATGACCAGGCCTTTTTTACAATTTTGTTTGTCAAGTAATTTTTGCTTGGTAGTGCCCTCCCCTTCCAATTGAAAAAAGTTTGATTATGCCCCTAACTTCCCCACCCCCCAACCCCACCCCAACTGAAATCACTTCATATGGGCCTGTCAAAAATACATGTAATAACTTCCTTGAGTCTTATAGAATCAGACTATCCCCACCTCCATCCGCACGATACAACTCGCATACAGTACGAATAAACTTGAAATGAGAAATTTCGTACGTAGAATTATTTTGAGAAACGGGTACATCCCTATCTATATTTAGAATCGGTAGGGGAAGAAAGTAGTCCACTTAATCAAATAGTTCCTGAATATACAAGCAGAATCACATCATAATGAACCTTAAAATTATGATAAATATTAAAAATATAAATATTCAACCCTGAAATCCATCCTCTATTTTGATATATCTTTGAAAAGAAAGGAATTGACTGGTTTGATGAATATTTAAACCGGATATTGGGAACTCCCTAGTTTTACTCGTCATACAAACCAGAAAACGGAGTATGTGTAGGAAAGATGTATGAGGATAGGTAAAATATGCGATTGCTACACAGAGGTCAAATTTAAAGGTGAGCGCGTGATTTGGGAGGGGGATGTTGCATTTTTAGGCCTATCCGTGCGACATTGATTCTATAAAACCGTCCCTGGTCTCTTAAACACAAATTTTCTGCGCAGCGCCATAGTTTTAAGTTTCTGTATCAACTACACTTTTCATACTTACCTGGTGCAGAGGGCACCCTGATCAAGTAGGGGGTCCCTCCAGGGCGAGGCCTTTCCATTGCACTCCGGATCGGCTGAACCCTGCGATCGCCCCAAATGCGGGCGACTCGGGCACGTAATTTTTAAGTGTGGGGGTCTGCGTTCGCGCTTACCCCTGGATAAATAAATGTAGAATAAGAGAAAAAACTATCCACACCCTATCACATATATAAAACTGCAATAGTAATTAATATTTTTACAATTTCAGTATCATTGTGCATGAATTTTATTTACTGCATGTAGATATTTAAGACGTTTATTCTATTCTTGTTATTGTTAATCAATTTTTATATGAATTAGTTTGTTATGATTCAATAGCTCAGTATAGCTATATTTGTTATTTTATTTCATTTTATTTTTATTGCTTTGTTTTTGGTTTGTTTGTGTGTATTTTCAATTATATTTAATAAAAAAAATCATGTTCTTCTATTTTTACACACGCGTACTTAGTGTCTTTACGTTATCCGGGGATCACGTGAAAAAATGTGCATACAAGTAAGATGGAGTTACGTCCCTTTGACCGTAGCCTTTGGTTCACGTAATGCCTACTGTGACGTCGTGTCCGTGACAACAAAAGTGTGGAGATTGTCATGCGGTCGTCAGAGAAGTTTAGAATCCAATTTTCTTGTGAATATTTCTTATTCAGTGTAAGGAAGTGAAAGGAAATTGTTCATATATCAAAGTGGATGTCAATTTCATACAGCAGCGATGTCATTTTTTTGGCTAAATGTGCATTGGATTACGTGTTGGAAATTAAATTCTATAAAAATTTATAAGGACTCGAAGAGCAAGTAATATAAGGTTAGTGAATTTTATTTTCCCTTTCAATTTACTTCAACTAGTTAGAATCGCGTTCACCATTCTCGATAATATCATTTAATCATTCTGCGCATTGACCAACCATATCTCAATAATATATGCGACAGTCATTTTTCTGGGCATCGGAGAAAATCGTGGTTGTAGCTTGATTATAAGAATTCAGAGCAAAACTTGATAGATATGAAATATGATAAAATTAGAATTATTTACTTTTATTTTCCTTTGTTTTTAGCTTTCTAAATAAAGCTATCGATTTTTTTCTTGCACAATGACCCCTCCCCCCACCCCCATTCACCCCCTCACTCCAGTTAATTTTTATTTCCTTCCTTTTATTCATTACACATGTGTGCACATGTGTAAGTCACATAGGCACATGTGTAGCAGTTACCTTTCCTGTTACGTAGTATTAACGTTTCTTCAGCTGTTTACAGTATGCAAATATTTAAAAGGGCTATTTCATATTACTCTCTGTTCCATAGTATTTATATGTTGCAAAAAGTAGTAGGTATTGTACTTGCTTTTCGGCAGTACATATATTAAAATTGGAACGATACAGAGAAGATTAGCATGGCCCCTGCGCAAGGATGACACGCAAATTCGTGAAGCGTTCCATATTTTTTTCATTTTTAAAAAAGTTTTTAAATTTTTTCTCTTTATATTTTCTGTATTTTGTGCCAATTTTCAATGTAGTGTCTATCCTATTTTTAAAATTGGAACGATACGCAAGTTTTGGAAGAATTCCATATATATATATTGATTATTACTAATTATTATTTCTTAAATAAATCAAAAGGAAGTCAACAAAATTAAATCAAACGGGAGGGGGGGGGGGGGGGAGTTGATAGACACTACTATTTATCATTTTCTTTATTTTTGTTCTTTCTTTTTCTTTTCTTTCTTTCTTTTTTTTCTTCATATTTTGCTTATTAATTGTCATTTCTATTTATCAATAGATTAATAATCTTTAAATTCTAGTGCACTATATATGGTATACAGGTGATAGTACTAAAACGCTGAGAGTACGAATGGAAAACGTTGACAGTACGTCGCATTTAGAAAAACGGAGTATGTGTAGGAAAGATGTATGAGGATAGGTAAAATATGCGATTGCTACACAGAGGTCAAATTTAAAGGTGAGCGCGTGATTTGGGAGGGGGATGTTGCATTTTTAGGCCTATCCGTGCGACATTGATTCTATAAAACCGTCCCTGGTCTCTTAAACACAAATTTTCTGCGCAGCGCCATAGTTTTAAGTTTCTGTATCAACTACACTTTTCATACTTACCTGGTGCAGAGGGCACCCTGATCAAGTAGGGGGTCCCTCCAGGGCGAGGCCTTTCCATTGCACTCCGGATCGGCTGAACCCTGCGATCGCCCCAAATGCGGGCGACTCGGGCACGTAATTTTTAAGTGTGGGGGTCTGCGTTCGCGCTTACCCCTGGATAAATAAATGTAGAATAAGAGAAAAAACTATCCACACCCTATCACATATATAAAACTGCAATAGTAATTAATATTTTTACAATTTCAGTATCATTGTGCATGAATTTTATTTACTGCATGTAGATATTTAAGACGTTTATTCTATTCTTGTTATTGTTAATCAATTTTTATATGAATTAGTTTGTTATGATTCAATAGCTCAGTATAGCTATATTTGTTATTTTATTTCATTTTATTTTTATTGCTTTGTTTTTGGTTTGTTTGTGTGTATTTTCAATTATATTTAATAAAAAAAATCATGTTCTTCTATTTTTACACACGCGTACTTAGTGTCTTTACGTTATCCGGGGATCACGTGAAAAAATGTGCATACAAGTAAGATGGAGTTACGTCCCTTTGACCGTAGCCTTTGGTTCACGTAATGCCTACTGTGACGTCGTGTCCGTGACAACAAAAGTGTGGAGATTGTCATGCGGTCGTCAGAGAAGTTTAGAATCCAATTTTCTTGTGAATATTTCTTATTCAGTGTAAGGAAGTGAAAGGAAATTGTTCATATATCAAAGTGGATGTCAATTTCATACAGCAGCGATGTCATTTTTTTGGCTAAATGTGCATTGGATTACGTGTTGGAAATTAAATTCTATAAAAATTTATAAGGACTCGAAGAGCAAGTAATATAAGGTTAGTGAATTTTATTTTCCCTTTCAATTTACTTCAACTAGTTAGAATCGCGTTCACCATTCTCGATAATATCATTTAATCATTCTGCGCATTGACCAACCATATCTCAATAATATATGCGACAGTCATTTTTCTGGGCATCGGAGAAAATCGTGGTTGTAGCTTGATTATAAGAATTCAGAGCAAAACTTGATAGATATGAAATATGATAAAATTAGAATTA